AGAGGAGACCGTGGATGGTGGTACTAGGAAAAGCAGAGGGGTGAAGAATGGAACCAGTTCAGTAAAGGCTTTTCTGAAGAAGAGGGTTTTAAACTAGGTCAACGTTTCTTCACATCCGTAAGCTCTGCTGTTCTAAAAAAAAAAAAGCATATTATGTTTTGCAATTGCGACCTACTACTAAACGCAATGTTGTCTCGTTTGAACGCAATAAACATTTGTTTCCTCCATGGCGCTAACAGGCTTCCGTAGCCGGCCTTCACCTGGGAGACTCACCAGCGGGCTGCCCGGGACCTTCCCCAGTTCTCCACACAGTGCCCCCTGCCGTCCGATTGGGGCAAGAGCACTCGGTATTCACAGGGATCGCGTTGACTGAGCTGGACCTGGCTGCGGCACTGAAGCCGAAAAATTGCTATTCAGCCTCTCCGAAGATGACTCAGCATCCGTCACCCAAAGGGTACGTTACACCTGCGCGATGAACAATAATTTTAATTTTTAATTTGCACGCCTTTTGCTACTCAGCATCTCGATTGTTATGATGAGACATATCTCTAATGATAACTGTTATTTCCTTTGCGAAGCACGCAGCAGTTCCGCAGCCTGTTCCTTCGACTAGATGCCAATAGCGATGGTTTCATCGCCGTAGATGAGCTCCGCAAAGAAATGAAGAAAATCGGAGTTTCGGCCGCAGAGGAGAAGACTCAGGTATGAATTGCTGAATGCCGACCTTGACACACGGTATTTTCCTGCCAGGTGTGAAGGTTAATCCCATGTCGTGTCTGCGCTTTTTTAAATTGTGCCATTCCAGGCTATCCTAGGCGACTATGACCTGAATAACGACGGGCGTTTAGATTACGAGGAGTTCCTGACCTACATGATGGACAGGGAGAAGAAATGGAAAATAAACTTTCAAGTCCTTGACAAAAACAACTGCGGTGAGTTGGTGACGTTTGAACGATTCTGTACAGGTTGTGCAAAAGTGAAGAAAGTGTAATTTGCCGGCGGGGGGTTGGAGTTAAAATTGTTGGTGCTTTAGTCAAAACCAGAGGGGCACAACTGCAGTCCAGATCTCTTTAAACGTCCATCTGTCCATTTTCTAACCACTTCATCCAATTCTGGGTTCCTGGAGAGCCAGGGCATATCCCAGCAAGCTACTTAATTAAATATCAATCATCATGTATCTCGCCATCCGTCAATACAGTTGTGTTATTTCCTGCTGCAGTGGGATCTGGTATTTATTACCCCTTCGTCCTGGAAAAAAAAAGACCCTTTCCAGAGGACACAGTTCGTTCCAAGGGCAAACAGCAAAAGGAAGGTTTCTGTCTTGAGATTTTTGCTCAACTGTTTTGTATTCATATTCATTTCTTCTCTGTGACTAGGGGTCATTGACCAGGAAGATATCATAGATTTGTTTAAGGAGTTAGGAGTGGTCATTTCAAAGCAACATGCAAAGAAAATAATACAAATGTAAGATCTGTTGCCACTTTTTAATATTTGACTGCTATAAAAGATTTATTGCCTTTGATCCATCAGTTACGAAGCATAGAACATGTTTGGTGCTAAAGGTGTCTTTTGTGTTACAAAAATCCTCCTGTATGCACGTAAAACCTGGGGGAAAATATGTTTCATAAAGCTTATGTAATATTGTAATGCTATTGTAATGCCATAATCAATGTCTATGGAAATGTAAACATAATACAGCAATTACAGCACATAACCGAACACCTTAATGACATATAATATAGTTTATATAATAAATAAAGTTTAAACGTACAGTTACAGTAGTTGCCATAGCAGAATAAAACAATATATTTTATGTGCATAGTGCCACAGAATAAACGCTTTTAATAAACAACAACCTGTAGTCATGTAGTAGCAACACTTGAGGAGATTTCCTTCATGGTTTCTCATGGTTTCTCATAGGATGGACTGTGACAACTCCATGACTGTGGACTGGAATGAATTTCTGCAGCACATCATTTTAAACCCCGCTGAGGACATTGCAGAGCTTGTTTCTTCTTGGAAGCGCAGCATGGTAAGGGCTGCATTGTGAAGCACCTTGTTCCTAATCGCAAAGGAAGTCAGTGTAGTCTTACTTTGCCTAATTATACTGTATGTACAGTATATAGTGTATATGCAAGTGGACTGTGAAAACTGCACTGTGGAGCAATTCAGTTTGGCATACCGTACATACAAACACAGCCATGGACGAGCTTCTATCCTGCTATGAACAAAGAAGTTATTCTCCAGAGGTATGACAACAGACATGCAGAGAACTCTATATCCTAGGACCCATCCTCTGTGGGACTGCTGCTCTTGTTAGTATCTCATGTGTACTGTCACTGGAATGTGTTTTTAGTTCAGTATACACTGTATCTTCACCAAATGTGATTGGTTCACCTCGTCCATTTTTCCTCATCAATTTGTCTCCACAGGCAAAAATAACTTCATAAGCATTCTGAATGCAGTCCAGTAGTCTTCTTGTGTCATGTCCCACCCTGCTGTCCCTTTGTGCCTCCTGCTGCCACAGTTGTTCCCTTCCCACAGGCCAGAGATCCCGAGTCTCCAGGATAGAGATGGACTGCGATGGCTGACGTATGTAAAATCTCGTGCCGTGTCAACAGGTGTTCGACGTGGGAGAAAGCCGGCCTCTGCCCATGGACTTCACACGGGAGGAGACAGACTCTGGAGCCTGGAAGAAGTACATTTTAGCTGGAGGAATAGCAGACGCGGTGTCCAGGACCGTCACTGCGCCAATCGATCGAATAAAAATTCAGCTTCAGGTAATTGAGTGCGATGCCTTTCAGTGCACGCACACAGATGCGCTGCATTGAGCTGCCGTGACGCACCGTGTGTTTTTCATGCTGCGTGGGGTGTACTGAATTAGTTGACAGGCCAGTGCCTTTGGACTCCTCTTTAGCCCATCTGGGAGATTGTTTGCATGAGAAGTGCTGTTTATCAATAGAGGAAAAGCTTTTTCAGGACCGTTTGAAATGTGAAGGAGCAGATCACCAGCTGGTCACTTTGCCTTTGTTTAGGTGTATGGTTCTGGGGCAGTATCACATGGGCTCAGGGAGATACGAGCAGGCGGTATCAAGTCGATGTGGCAGGGGAATGCAGTGAATGTGATGAAAGGCACCCCCCAGTCAACTCTCCAGTGTTTGATATACAACCGGGTACGTATTGCATTTACTGTACACTGTATTGCACAAGACAAAATGTCACAGCACTGCATTGTAACAGACTTGGGAATGATTTTAAGTAAGTTTGCATTTAAATATGAATGCTTTATCATGGTGCTGATCATTAGAGTAGGGCTGTACAGTACTTTCTCCTGAATGCAGCAGTTATTCTTGCCTTGTGTGCACTGGTTGGAGCTGCTGCCTCACAGGTCTTAGGTCCTGGCCAGGGCTGCCTTCTGCATGGGGTCTGTATGTGCACTCCGGACGTCTCCTTCTGTTACAGAACACTGACAGTATGAGCAAGACATCGATGATGGTTTCATTTGTTCTGTGTAAAAATACTCTTGTCTACTGCAGTGCAATTCTGCATTGTTAACTCTAGAAAACAGAGGGTTAAGCTGCACAATGTCTTTTAATGGGTGTCTTGGCAGGTGAAGATTCTTGGGGAAGTTTCAGAAGGTGAGCTGACTGTGCAGCAGAGATTTGGGCTTGGCTGCGTCTCTGGGGCAGCTGCACATGCAGTGTTCTATCCCTTAGAGGTAAAAATGAACACTGGGCGCATGGTATGAAGAATCAATTGAGTCCTTAACACATGTGCTTGGCATTTCAGAAATGAATACACCTGTACATTGCAGAAGAAAGAGACTCAGCATACAGCATCTGGCAAAGATGTTCTCTAAAAGCAGAGGATGTGACACAAAACTTTGTACATAAACTTCACCCACAATTGTCATATGATGTGACATCAACGCAGGAGATAAAAATAAGCTTGTGAAAGTCAGCAGTTCCCACAGAGGCCTTAAAATCAGCAGTGCGTACATTGTGCTTCAGCTGGGTGTAAAGGATGAAGGATCTGGAACGATGACACTGTACTTCACACGAATCAATCGTGACTCTGTCTTCTGGCCGTCATGTTGTTCCAACTATGGAGTTTCCCAGTCGTGGGTGGCAATGAAGAGATAGAGCTGGCATCCAAGTGGCAGAGAGAACTTGGCCTTCTAATATCGTATCAGAGCGTCCTGCTGATATCTGAGTCATGCGTTACAGGCACAAAAGCAATAAGTGCACAGAGTTCCCACTTGCATTACCGGATTATGAATGATATAATACGTACTTAATATAGCTTTAAAGTTAATTTTACTGTGCACAGTAAAGTTACCTAGATATTTATGCATGTGTGGACAAACTGAATCTATTATAATCAGCTTCAATAATGAAAAGGTGCTTCATTCTGCGTATACATAGAGAAGGTTTTGGACCCTTAACCAAGATGCTGCGTATGTCTTTTCAGGTTTTAAAGGTCCGACTGAATCTTCAGCAGGCAGGTACATACACGGGGCTCAAGGAATGTGCCAAGTCCATTTATCAAAATGAGTCCATAGTCGCCTTTTACAGAGGGTTCAGGCCTAGCCTCCTCTGCATGATACCGTATGCTGGCGTGGAGTGTGCGGTCTATCAGGTACGTAGCCTGAAAGTGCCGGACAATTTGATGATTAAGAATAATTCCTTGCATCCAACAGAGCACTTTTCATCTAGAAGGATGTCTACCAGTGCTGTCTTCTACTAGTGCTGAACTGCCGTTATGAGCCAGCAGCCAGACTGCACAGTAAAGGTCCTTAAATATCTGCTATAAAACATTACTCCTGTAACCGGTTTTATTCTTCAGGTGCTCCTGCAGATCCTTTAATCCACCCATGTAAGTACCATAGTTGATCATGTACTGTTTTCCTCATTGTATAGGTTAAGGCACTATTATGAATCCCATGTTTTTTTCCTACGACACTACATAATGTAACTTTTCTTTCTGTGTGAGCTTTTTAAAATTGATAATAGTTCCTTGCATTTACAATTCATCCAAACAAACCTCAAACCGCTCTGCATGCAGTATAGCAGGGGACTCACCTCACCCTTTGATGACCTAGCGGTTAGGACCTCAGTTTAATGTATCTTCCGGATAGATAGACACTTTATTGATCCCGTGAGGGAAATTGCAGTGCAACAGCAGCTTAACACACACAACACAGCCACAGTGTAACGAATTATATACTAATAGTACAATACATACAATACAATACAAGAGTTACTCACAGTCCGGACACACAAGAACAAACCAGAACAGAACAGTACGCAGAAAAATCATATCACACATATGAGTATGAATATAAATGTAGATGTAGCTATAGATATAAATATAAATGTATTGCACAGGTCCCTGGCATATATTGCACAAAAAATGGTTGTAAACGGGGAAAAAGAAAAAGAAAGAGAACAGATGTAGCAGTAGATGTGTAGATGCGTATGGATGACAGCACCACCTCCCCGGCCGGCATACTGAAACTGTGCTTTGAACCCGGTGCTGCCTGAGGAAAGAGCGCCCCCAACTGGTCTACCAACTCCAATTTGTAGCTATTTGGGAATTGGGACAAAGACAAATGACAAAAGGCAGATTATATGCAACTGCTCCTCATATCAGCTTTCCATTGTTCGCAGTCTGTTATGAGCTGGGCAAAAGCAGATGCTGCAGACAGCAGTGAGTCCAGGCTGTTCCTTTGTAGCTTTGCTGCTTTTGCTTCTGGGCAGACTGCAAGTTATCCTCTGGCGGTCATCAGAACTCAACAACAAGCTCAGGGTAAGGGTTGTTTTTTCAGCTGATACCCGCTCAGTAGACGTTTCTTCTTCTGAACCTGAATTTGATGTTGTTAAACTTCTTGCTAAAAGAAGCTCAGGTACAGGGGACCTGAATATTCACACACCTGAATATTTTACTGGAGCAATTTAAATGGTCTTGGGTACCACAGCAGTCTCTTACATGGGATTTGAACCCACAACCTTCCAGTTATGAGTCCCCAACCCTGACGTTTGTTTTGTTCCAGCCAAGCTTTCAGTAACCCAATTACACAACTTCATTGACCTAATAACAGGATTACTCCGAGCTCTGCTTGTTTCCAGTTTCTAACTATGACATTTCACATGTAACTCAAGAAACTCCCAGTTTGGAACAGTCTTTGAGTGGAGAACTGCGTCAGCATTTGGTCTAAAAAGGAAGAAAAAAAAACTAGAGACTGAATCTGGGCCAAAAAGGCAAAAGAAAAACACATTGGCAGAAGGTGGAAGTGAATTGCACTTGGAAAACAAATTGCTATGCAACCGATCCAACAACTTACAGTATGTGTTCAAACAAATAACCCTTCGAGTAGTCAAGTGGAACAGTGGGTGGGTTGGGGATTCATAACTGGAAGGTTGTGGGTTCAAATCCCATGTGAGAGACTGCTGTAGTACCCGAGATCATTTTAATTTCTCCAGTAAAATATTCAGGTGTGTGAATGGAGAAAATGTAAGTTAGATTGGATAAAGGCCTCATCTAAATCAACTTGTAAATGGTGTGAGAAATCAATATTTTACAATCATGATTCGGGTAAAGAACTAAATTGGAATTTAAAAAAACTGCAGGTAAGACCTCTGGGCTGAAACAGGTGTGAGGTGATTGTGGACAATATAAAGGGTGTGGCTATTTTTTAATTCAAGCAGACAGCTGCGTCTTTTTTCATTTTTTTTATTTATGCTTAACAGAATAACAAAAATTACAATACAAACAAGAGTACGTATATCAATTCAAGACAAAAAGATCGTCAGGGGTACATATTACTACATAAATTCAAGTTATGAAAAAAGATTAAAACAAAGTAAATAAAAATAATGTCCGCACCGCTTTCATATTGGCAGCTGCGTCAGCATACGCAGGCTGCAAAGGAAGAAGTAAAGGTTTATTTCCTGCTGAGAAGAGAAGAGAAGAAAAGAAACGCAACGTGGACGGACACCTGAAGAAGACTCCACCGCCGAAACGTTGTGTTTCTTTTCTTCTCTTTTCACCCCCGAATAAACCTTTTACTCGTTCCTTTTTTTTAACTGTTCTGTTTCACTGTTCTTCCCCTTGCAGCCATTAGTTCAACAACACAGACTTCAAGTGCCGTCGAAACACTGACGAGCATCTACCGCAATCAAGGGATCAGGGGCTTCTACAGCGGAATGGGGGCCAGTTTTGCAAGAGCATTTCCTTGTGCCTTATTAAACTACACTTTAACTTCCCGGCTGGAAATCCTCTTCCCTTAACCGTCTGACAGCATCCTCGTTGTTCTTTTAGGAGAATGTAAATATATTTTAAAGTCGTGTTTCTCACACTTCGCTCTCATGGTGTAAACTATGCAACAGACGTTTTCCCAAAGCAATTAAATGCCCGAATATACCTGCACTTTAATTTGTGAAGTGATGTACACATGAAGATTGCCTTCATTTGGCCTGTGTGATACAAACCGTGTCCCGTTTTCATTAAACTGCAGTTCTGTAACGATCAAGGTGGGGTTTTTTTTTTTGCGTTCTGTTTCTCGCCACTTCATCTTTTAGGGTGTAATTTATGCAACAGACGTTTTCCCAAAGCAATTAAATGCCCGAATATACCTGCCATTTCATTTATAGAATATATCAAACAAAATGAAGACTGACTTCCTGTTTCAAATTAGTTGGCCTTTGTGATACAAAACGCGAAGGTATTTTTTTGTCATACTATGGAAGCATCCGTATTCAGAAATACGTGGCGATGCCTGTGGTCTTTGCACCAGGCGTGTGCACTGTTGCCGTCTTCTTCAGGTCGGATTCATTCAAATTTGTAACGTTGACTATATTGCTCACGGGAGAGGATGACCGCAATCACAGACCATAGCATCCAGGCGTCTGGTGTGGGGTGCAGTATAGTCGGTGTGTGCTCTCGGCAGCACATCTTCGCAAACCGACGGCCAATTCAAGAGGCAAAGAGACAGCGGGCCGGAGGGGTGGGTTGTGACATTTTCAGACACAGTCTAAGCCACGCATAGATACAATATGCCCGTCTTTTCAGGGAAATCGGATATACATTCAAACATGAACAAAGGCGTACTCCTTGGGCTTCCAAACTAACCGCATGAGGTCGAAGGGCTGAAACGTGTTTATCTGTGGCGCACTTATCTGTGAAAGTGCAAAAGTGGATTCACCTATGGAACAAGTAATAGTTCATCTACCTTTTACACCAGTAGGCTGTATACTCCCCTCAAGGATTGGGGGCAGAAGTTCAGAATTTTTTTGCAATGGCTGTATCAACGCTCACAACACAACAGATCTTGCCCCAGTACGTGGTTTTATGTCCCACCCAAACCTTTCCCAGGAGGTCTGCCGTCCAGGTTACTGGCCAGGCTCACACCTGCTGAGCTCCAGCGGGGAGGTGCAGAGCGATATTTTGGGGGGCTGGCTACACAACTAGGAATCACAACTAGGGCAGGTTTTGCAATAATTCGAGGTGGGGGGGAGAGGGGGGAACTGACATCTTTAGAATGAGGGCATTGTTCTTAGAATTTAAACGAGCCTCCTTTTTTCCCCAAGGAAAACAAACCCCCTGGCAACAACAGACCCCTCCTACTGTCAGGCGAGACCTCACCGCCTTCCCAGGTCACCTTTCGGCATTAATTGGTGCCTCACGAGCCCCCTTGCGCGCTTCCTCTCTCCCTCCCTCCCCCCAGCTATCGCGATATCTCCTGGCCCAACCAGCTCCCTCGTGCCGCGGTGTCGCAGCACTACCTTGTTTCCCGGAGACCGGCGGCCATTTTCACTCCACTTCTGCGAGAGGGAAGATAGCTGTGCTCCGCGATGGCCGACTACTCTAGCGTGGCTCCTCCGTCCAGCGGCTCCGGCGCGGGCATGAACGACGCCTTTAAGGACGCCCTGCAGAGGGCTAGACAGGTAGGTCGACTGGGCGCGGGTTTCTTTGCTTTCCCCGGCAGGGAGTTTTTAAGATCAGTCGGAAAAACGACAACATTTTAAGAGAGGCAGGCGCCCGCCGTTCAACAAAGCGGTCCGGCTTGGGCCTTGTTTCTTACACCGCTCCTAACAAAGGAAGGGTCCGTTTCGCCCGCGGCAGCTTCGCTGACGAACGGCGAGTTGCTTTCCTTAGTGTGTAAAAGTTTACCAGGGAAGTGTTTTTGGGGGGGCTTTTCGTACAAATGGCGTGAAATCCAACCCCCACAGTTTCGAGAGTTGACCACGTCCCCCTCCTCCTTCTAGGCCCGAGTTAAGAAAGCACGCAGCAGAAAAGCGGTTTACTTGTGGCGCTGTCGGCTAAGGGCTGATATTTGTATCGCTAAAAGGACGAGGCGCCTTCGATCTCGAATGAAATATATATGAATATATCTTAAAACCTCGACCACAGGGAATAGTTTTGGACTAAAAACCCTGCTTGGTGCGGTCAACTTTTAAAAGGGGGGCTCAACGTCGAGGGAACTTTTATGTCACGAAGAGTCGTTTTTCAAGTTGCCCGTTTCACCCGAGCATTTAGACAAAAGAGCCGTTTTGTATTAAGTGTGGATTCGCTCGACCGGGAGTCAGCCCGCCTGAATGTGTTTGGAGGGTAGCGTGTCTTCCGCGCTTGAGATGTCCTTTTTACAAGAGAGCAAGACGTGAAGGCGTTTATCCGAGGCGGAAATGAACTTCCCAGTAACGCAGCAATGTAGTGTTGGAAGAAGTGGTGTCAGAGGCGGCAAAATGAAAGGTACAACAGTTCATGCGGTTCAATCTCATTTTTTTCAGATCGCTGCGAAAATTGGTGGTGACACTGGTGGTGCACCTCCACCAGCTACGAATGAATTTGGATATCCAGGCCAGAAAAGGCCGTTGGAAGATGCGGGTGAGTAGATTTGTTTAGAGAACTTTTGCATCCATTTTCTGGTCATTTCCTGATTTTGTTTACACCTTTCTACACTCTTTGAATTGCTAGTGTGTAAAGATTTCTTGTATTCTGTTTTAAAATTGGTGAATACACAGTATTTGTAGTTCCTTTTGCCTAATTTTTATTTCCTTTTGAGTGTTATGCACGTTAAGAAGCTGTATTCCATTATCCAAACAAATCTGTATTTTCAGATTTTGTCAGTTTGTGTTTGTGTATAAGCTTGCAGTAATCAGGACTGCTACACTGCACTGTTTTATGTAAGCAAGGTGTCAGGATGATTCTAATTTTGTGTAGACTGACTTGTTGTAAGATCGCACTGATACAACAAATGTTACAGGTTCTTGTCTACTCTGCAAAAAAAAAAGTAAAACAAAAATCAAGTGCACATAAGGAAGATGAATCGTTTAATATTGCCAAAAATTGGAAATAAGTTTAAAATTATTACTGTGTTAGTGCTGTTGGTGTGGTTACAGTGTACTTCCTGTGCATAAATAAGCTCCCCAGCGCTACCCTGGAACATAAGTGAAAGTCAAAACGTCATGATGGTTCAGCTCATGTATTTCATGCTTTTATTTCATGTGTAGATGACTCTTGGACAAGTCTGAGCAGTAGAAAACACTGGAAGGGATTGCCCCCTCCTTTTGAAGGCAGGAACCTTTTGCTTATTAAACCTGTCTGTAGTATGTGAAGGTGGAAGGTGTCAGCCCAGTTGGAGACGGACTGCTCTTCAATAGAATCTGCAGCGTTGCCTTTCTGTTCAAGTTTGCCATGTTATAACTTTCCAAGCATTAATTGGGCTGACGGCGTTCATGTTTATTGCCCCCATGCTTAGGTCTGTTGAGTGTTTAGAAGCATGGGTAATAGGAATTTACATAAAATCAAGAACCCGCATAAAAGTTTCAGGCCCTTTTTCCAGGAAAATACTTGCTGCATCTTTTTTGGAAACTGTTTCAGTACTTGGGCATAATTATATTCTGCAGTTGGGAACACGTTTTATGTCATAGTCAAATTTCGGAACATCACGCAAAAGTGTCTGAATTTGAGAAGTTTGGTGTTGTCTTTGAATTGTTTGGAAAATGGAAAGGCAGTCAGATTTGCATTTGTATTTTACTTTTTTCCAATGACAATGATATTCTGTGAAATTTAATGGTCGCTTCCTTGTTCCCAAGTGCTGTTAACATTCCTGTTTTCTGTAGTGATCTTCTTAACATCTAGTACATCTCTTAACTCTGTGTGTATTTGTCAGTATTAAATGTTGGAAATTCTCCTTGTGTTTTTTTAAGTCTCAAATTGTTCCTGTAGCTATATCATAGAACTAACATTGAAAACTTACTTTCCCTTTCAGCCTCAGATCTTAACACTGGGGGTAAACCATTAATCAAAATATCACATCACATAATACAGCATTCTATTTTACAGATCAGCCGGAAACAAAGAAGGTTGCTTCACAGAATGATCGTAAGTTACAAAATTAATTATTCTTTAGATTCCATATAAAGTTATTTTGTTGTTTTGTTTGATTTGACAGTGTTATACATAATAAACCAATCTTGAGGTTTTTCATGTTTAAGTTACTTACAGTTTGTCACAAATTACATTTGAGTATACGGTTGCATTTAAAACTTTTGGAAAAATTTAATTAATCATTTTTTCTTTCAGCTTATACTTCTCCAATGGGGGGGATGAATGCACCTCAGAGGTAAGTTTTATTTTTATATGGAGTAAATGTATTGTCCTATTAAGATTTATGGCATGTTTTCAGAACTGTGTGGTTGTGTGGGTGCACAAAGGTTTCAGCATTATGTAGCAATCTGCACTTTGGTAAATTTATCAATTTTTTTAACAAATTCTAAACTAGTAATTAGATTGCCTTCCAGAGTTAGTGACAGTCTTAGTGTTGCATATTTGCTCTTATGTTCCAGTCATAATCCAAATCGGAAATTTCTGTTTTGTTAAGGTCTGTTTCTGAGGAGTTCAAGGTTCCGGATGGAATGGTTGGATTCAGTAAGTTTAACTCTACATTTGCTAGTATTGATTTTGCAGAGAGTGCTTCAGGATTTGCTAAAGCTTCTTTTTTTGTCTTTAGTTATCGGTCGAGGAGGTGAACAAATATCTCGCTTGCAGCAAGAATCTGGATGCAAAATACAGATTGCCCCAGGTAAGGTTTGAATCTAGTCTGCATTGTGTTAAGGTAGCTATTGTTTAGCTGTAACCTAAACCTTGTTAGATGCAATTATATATGGGTTCTTTTCACATTTGTGAGAAGTTTTTATAGGCATTGTAGTTACTGATGTAACACATTTAGATGTTTCTTATGTGTTACCTTTTGAATGTGTAGAAATTAATTGAGAGTAATTTTAACATGTTCTCTTTTTAAAATTTTAGACAGTGGTGGTCTGCCAGACAGATCTGTGATGTTAACAGGTTCTCATGATTCAATCCAGTAAGTATAAAATGTCCGCGCACATCTAAATAATAAACCTCACACAGATGCCATATTGTTTTAATTTATATTATGTGTACAATTTACAATTGTGGGAATTTGTTGTTCAATGCATAATTTTTATTGTGGACTTGAATGGCTGTTGTGTTTTGTGATGTCTTTTTCCAGGACTGCGAAGAGGTTGCTCACTGAAATTGTAGAGAAAGGAAGGCCTGGACCAGTCTTCCACCATTCTGATGGGCCGGGAATGGCAGTTCAAGAAATTCTTGTTCCTGCCTCCAAAGCTGGCCTGGTGATTGGAAAAGGTGGCGAAACCATCAAACAGCTGCAGGTGAGGAGAAGAATGTTTTGTCTCCTGATATGTGCAAATGCAAGCCTGCAGTTTTGTTGTGTGTACAAGCCACTGTTTCTTTCCCCACAAAACAGGAACGTGCTGGAGTGAAAATGGTAATGATTCAGGAAGGCCCGCAAAACACGGGGGCAGACAAACCACTTAGGATTTCAGGCGATCCCTTTAAAGTGCAGGTAGGCAGATGTTCTGGTCCTTGGAGCTTGAGAGTAAAATTGCAAGTAAAGCTCTGTTACAGCGTCTTTGTTTTTGTTCTTCCAGCAAGCCAAAGAAATGGTGATGGAGCTCATCCGCGATCAAGGAGGGTTCAGAGAACAGCGGAATGAGTATGGATCCCGAATGGGAGGAAGTGACTGCAGCTTAGATGTAAGTGAAAGCTGCTTAGCTGTCAGCAGTGTCTAAGCATATTTTTGAAATGTGTAAGAATGGACTGTAGACTTCTTAGATATGCCCAAGTTTAATGTCTTGAAAGTGTGCGGGGTTTTTAAAAAGGCAACAGGGTAACTTTTTTTCTTCACAAAGTTAATCCCATAACTTATTTTCTTCCAGGTTCCCGTGCCAAGGTTTGCAGTTGGAATTGTTATAGGCAGAAATGGTGAAATGATCAAGAAGATTCAGAATGATACTGGTGTGAGGATTCAGTTTAAACCAGGTAAGTTCCAGGATAGTAGGAACTTGAAGCCTTTGTAAAATAGTTCAAAAGCTCCAGTTTTTTAATTCACCTGTTACTGCTTGTTTCTTGGCTGCAGCACGAATGATTCAGTGAAATTTCAGTATGCTCTAAAATAGATCAATAATGAGCTAATATTCTCACTGATGGAGTGACTTACACCCATGAGACTTACACAGTGTGTTATTTGTCTTCTCGTCTTTAGATGATGGAAGTACTCCAGAAAGAATTGCTCAGATCATGGGACCCCCTGACAGATCTCAGCATGCTGCAGAAATAATCACAGATCTCCTACGCAGTGTTCAGGTTAGTTTTTTTTAAATATCTTAGCCGATCAACAGAATCCTGAAGACCTGGAACAGTTCATAGTTTGGTTCAGTCTCAGAATGCATTTTGGACAATTTTTATTGTAGGCCGGTGGTCCACCTGGACCAGGAGGAAGGGGAAGAGGAAGGGGTCAGGGCAACTGGAACATGGGCCCGCCTGGAGGGCTTCAGGAGTTCAGTTTCACGGTCCCCACCATGAAAACTGGGCTCATTATTGGGAAAGGTAAGCACAGAACCAGTTTGAACTCCCAAGAAAAACAATTCATCCATGGCGTTTGAATGTTCATAGGTAATGCGTGAAGCTTTGCCTTTTACATTTTCTTTAAAAACATTTTTCATTTCAGGTGGTGAAACGATAAAAAGCATAAGCCAGCAGTCCGGTGCCAGAATAGAGCTACAGAGAAATCCTCCCCCTAATGCAGACCCGAGCCTGAAGATGTTCACAATTCGTGGATCACCACAACAGATTGACTATGCCAGGCAGTTGGTTGAAGAAAAGATTGGAGTGAGTCTGGTCTTGTATTAGTGAAACAACTGTTCTAAACTTAAAGCAGTTGATCGATGTGCAGCATGATCACAGAATAGAGAGAGGACAGCTGGAGATGATGTCTGGTGGGTAATATCTGGAAACCTTTGTCATTTTAGGGTCCCGTCAGTCCCTTGGGTGGTCCGCACGGCCCGCCAGGGCCTCATGGAGGTCCGGCTCCTCATGGCCCCCCTGGGCCTCCTGGGCCACCTGCTCCAATGGGTCCTTACAATCCCGGGCCCTACAACCAGGGCCCGCCTGGTCCTCAGTAAGTTCACACTGATCTCCTCCCGTGGCGCGAACCCTGTAAGAATGCATATGCCCCATGTGCATACACGGTACTTCTAATTTTCAAAGTCATCCTGGCTTTTTAAGTTTTGTGTACGATGCACAATATATCGTGGTACTACTGAAACACAAGCGTGGGTTTTTCCGTCTTAATGGCGTTTTCAGTGTCGACGAAGTCAGTTGTATCCCTGGTGCGTTGATTTTGACTGGAGGCCTGACATTCTGGTTTTTCCATTACAGTGGTCCCCCTGCACCGTACCAACCACAAGGATGGGGGAATGGCTTTCCTCACTGGCAGCAAGGACAGCAGGACCCCGGTAGGTGCCCTGTTCCTTGTATAAGTGTTTGACATTTCCATACAGTAATTTATTAAACGCTTACTTTTGGTGAAAGCATATGACGCACATACCTGCAATTTAGAATTTATCCTTTCCCCCCCCCACTATTGTTGTAACTTGTTCTTGACTACGACACAGTTATACATTTCAGGTGTCTTGCGTTTTGATGTCATACATAAGGGTTGTTCACCGAAACAATAGCATGGCGGTCGATAAAGACAACGTCTTCACTGAAGTTCTCGAGTCCCAGCATACACGGGCATTGTGGTGCAGGAGTGTTGGAGACATGACTCTCGAGTTTCCAGAGCGAGAATGATAGTAAATCCTGGGAGGCAACGGAGCATAGAGATAGTGGGATTTTTTTCCACATTTTAGCCTCTTCCCATTATTTTTTTTGGCACAAACTCGCATTAGGGGGAGATTTGCTTTATTTCACTAGTGAAGGGCAGGGGATTTTTTTTTTTAGTGTCACAGATAAGTTCACTTCGTTGGCCATATACAGTTTCTTGTATTAGGAATTTCTTTTCGCATACTCCCAACTTGCTCTCCGTGAGACACAGACAGGGAGAGAAGCTGGGGCTCAGAGCGCAGGGTCAGCCATTTATACAGCGCCCCTGGAGCAGTTGGGGTTCAGGGCCTTGCTCAGGGGCCCAACGGAGTAGGATTCCTCTGCCGGCAGCGAGATACAAACCAGCAACCTTCCACACAGGCACAGATCCTGAGCCACAGAGCCACCGCTCCGCCACTTTTTACAGGTAGCCCTCTTTTGGGAGGTGTGCTTTCGGTTCTTGGGTGACCCATGTCTCTGCATGCTTCGCAGGGAAGGCAGCAGCCGATGCGAACGCAGCAGCATGGGCAGCTTATTATTCTCAGTATCAGCAGCAGCCGCAAGCCCCGATTGCAGCTGCCAGCGCTGCTCCGGGCTCTGCGCAGACAAATGGACAAAGTAAGTCGTTGTTCGCGGTTTGTGGGTTTTGCGTGACTTCAGTGCGGAGGCTTAGCATGTTTCTGTATTGAGATGTGTGAAGTTTGTCACTTGGTTTTATGAGCGACTCAAAACCAGAGCCAATAGAAATCTGCTGAGTTCCAATCCAAATTCCAGTCGGGGGGTAAACAGCTGTCAGCGTCCTCAGCCTGCCGCGCGCACATGCAAAACAGATAAATCAAATAAGTGAGTTTGATTTCGAAGAATCAACAGATTTCTTTTGTCTTCTGTTGTTGAATAGTCAGCCAGCACGTGCATTTTTGTGCATTAGCTAATGCCGTCTGGAAACGGACAAAAAAAATTCATAGCTGCTGAAATTTTAGTGTAGAAATCAGCTTACACATCGAAGATCATTCAGAAAAATTCTTACTGCAGCCTTTTTAAGAATGGTTATCAATTAAATTGTACCATTTTTAACAGGTGACCAGCAGAATCCAGGTCAGAGTGGACAGGCAGATTACACGAAGGCCTGGGAGGAATATTACAAGAAATTGGGTATAAATAATTTTGAAAAACATAAATTCGGACTATATAGTGGGTTAGTTTGTTAGTATGAGTTCATTTCCTCACTTATTTCTTTTACTGTTTAGAGCATCACTTTTAAATGCTCTCGGAAGTTACACAGGGGCTTTCACTGCACTGTGCTTGTTCATTTATGTACACCTTGAAATCTTCACACATCTGCCTGAAGGAGAACGGAACCAGATATTCAGATTTGTAATGATGAAATTTGGTATTCCGTTGTCTAGTTTAGAATCTGAATGAATAGGGCAATGATGGGAACAGCTCTTTGGATTGTTTAAAAGAGTGTAATGCAGTTTTTTTTTTGTTTTGTAAGTGCAGGATTCCTAATGTACTTTGCTATTTCAGGTCAACAGGGACAACAGCCACAGGACTATACAAAGGCTTGGGAAGAGTACTATAAAAAGCAAGGTACTTGAACTGGAGTTGGAAGTACATCACAAGCAGTTGAGATAAAAATCATGCGTCTCCATAGCACTGCAAATTAGCAGCTACCTAATTCAGTGTCTGTGTCTTGCACGGCTGCAGATTTGTAAAGTTAAAACCAATTTGGTTTCATGTAATACGTATTGGCAAATGGCTTATGCCATTAAGCTTTATAGTGAATTTTATATCGATATAAAAACTTATCTTTTGCAGAACACCAGAACTAATTTGTTCACAGTTAAATGGTGTTTGACTTTGGGACCTTTGTATAGGGAAGTAGGGAGGTTTTCTAAAAAATCTTTTTTCTTTTGGTTTTCTAAAAATCTTTTTTTTTTCTTCTTTTTAACGACCCAAAAGGTCAGGCGGCTCCGGCTGCTGCTGCTGCTACCCAGGCAGGCGGCCAGCCTGATTACAGCGCAGCGTGGGCTGAGTACTACAGGCAGCAAGCGGCGTACTATGGGCAGGCCAGCCCCCAGGCCATGCCCCCACATCCTCCTGCACCGCAAGCACAGCAGGTACTGTCGTGCTAAGACTTGGCTTTAGCGTCACGGTTTCGTTTTGTTTTTTAGACCCGACTTTTTTTGCTGTTAAAGGGTCAATATAGTTCCCGTCCAGAAAAGACCTTACTGTAAATCGGCATGTATAATACGTGTTGTCCTAACATTTCCTCCCCAGGTGTAGCAGAGCACCACACGAGCCAGCGCCTCGCTAACATTTTTCCCCCCCAAATACAGGTTTTTAGATTTTTTTAAAGCTAAACAGATGTTCCTGTTGTTAACCATATATGTATTTTTTATGTATTTCTTCTGCACAGGGCCAGTAATGTGAAGTGGACATAGAGTATTTGCTTCATTGTCGAAAAACCTTTGTTAAATGTATGGATGCAGACGACTTGATGAAGATCTTAATTTCTTTGGTTTAAAACAGTGTTCGAAAGAGTACGTAAAAAACACCGAAGGCAATTTTCCTGTATAAGATGAACGGTTTGTTTTTAGTATGTGGTTCATAGATTTGGACATTCCAGCTCCTGTATTTCATCATTAATTATGTGGTCAATGCTCATGTTTATGAAACTGTAGTAATTTCCATGTAAATCATCTCGTTTTTTTAAAAAATGCCTGTTTTTTGTGTTTTGCAATAAAACAAAATGAAACCTCCTGTGTTGGTAAGTTGGGTGGAAATATGGGTAATTCTCAGCCTTGCAAGTTAAGTTGTAGTTCTGCCCTAAGGTGTATATGAATGTCTGTTACAGACTGTACAGATTTGATGACATTTTAAGTTTCGAGTTTTTCTTCGCTCACCCTAAAAAGTTAATGGCTCTGAGTTTTTATTTGAAGTTTTAAGTCTACAAAAATTTTTATTGGTATTTAAAACATCTTAAGAAATGAAAGGAATGTTGCAGTTTTTCACTTAAGTACCTGTTTTGTTTTAGCCTTGTCTATTCTATAGGCTTTCAATATAGTGATTTAGGACCAGGCCAGTGTGCATGTAGTTATGGAGGTAGTGGATATCAACATGATACACCTGAAATTACAACCTAGTTCTGTAGTATTTTTTCAATGTACTGTATATGAACATTACCTGTTTGCTGACTTGAGGTAGTCTGAACTGTTTATAATAAGAGAACAACTTTTTCCCTCACAGGAAAGATTAGAAAGGTGGTAAGAAAGCAAAAAGTATTCTTTATGAAATGTTCCCTTAAATGTGACTTCATGAACATCATAGTCAAATTGCTGCTTTTTTACAGCACAGGTAAATGTGTTCTTATATTAACAGTAATTGTCTTTGCAAAAGTACTGATTTTTTTCCCCCATCTTGGTGTCTTAAAGCCACTGTCTGCTTTGTATATATTTGCTGGCTTTTTGTTATGATTAAAGGAAAAACGTGAATGCAGAATCAATTTGCTTTGCCATTGTCCTTTAAAGTGCATCCAGCGTAGGTCTAGATTTGTAGGGCTGAGGAGGCCTACGCTGTACACCATCCTTGATTTGTTCCATCAAGGAGCACTTTCAATGTAAGTACAAAATCACAAATATAATGGATCCGAAGTCCTTTTGCTTTCAATGTATTTCTTTGAGAGACTGAAAATGTAGTGTTTTGACTAGCAGTGAAGTATTGCTTTTATTTAAAAATAGGATCCTTTCTATTCATAGGTAAGTATCCAAATATTGAAACACGTTTATTGCAACTGTTACCATGACACCTTTCCTTAAGTTCCAAGTTTAAATGTAATCATTTGAAGGTCGTGTTTTGCAATGTTAACCGAAAAGTGCAGAATTCTCTTAGTTCTAGCACTTAGGCTACCGCATACGTAATTGGTACTGTAGACTGTTTTGTAGGCTACCATCTTTTTTTTTAGAAATGCTTGCCGGTTTGATCCATCCCTTTCAATACGATGAAATGTTACAATAGAAGGCTTTAGTAACTACTTTTTTAAATATTATAGGGTGCACAGTGTAGTATGTGGCAGGATTTCTGTTTACAGGAAAGCGATTTATAATACCATGTAACTGATGATAAAGATTGAAATTAGAAAAGTTTTTGGTTGTAGATTCTCACTTCTTGCGCATAATGATAGGACTGTTTACTCTAATAAGATCATTTAACAGGATGCATTTAATGCACTTAATGAATAAGCAGCTTCAGAATTGGATTAGAAAATATAAAGTAAGCACTTCTAGAAAGGCTCTATAAAATGATAGAAGAAGTACTCCGCTGAGTTGTTTTGAAATGCCATTGTTTTAAGTACGTTTATACTGGAGGCTGTTGAACTGATTCATAATTGAATGATTGAATTTTTTATTGATGGCAAACAGTGCAATATTTAATCTTTGCAGTGTGACCCAGACCTTTCACCTTAGGTTCTGCTGCAGTTTAACAGGTAAGCATAACCTAAGGACAACAGTGTTTGAAATATGAATGACTTGAATGACTTGCCTTGTAGTGACATGCATACTTTTGTCATTTTTGTTCTGCGAAAATGTTGAAGCTGTTAGGGATGTGTTAAATCATTTGGTTCAAACTGTGACCTTGGAGAAAAAAGAATCAGAAGAATAGCAACAGCCTTCATGTATTTTTCATATTAATGTGATGAACATCAATGAATTGCATGGCATTGAATTGATCGTATTCAAAACATGAAGCCGAAGTTTAAGTATTTGTTGCAATATAGTTAAAATGTGCATTTCTTCTCCCTTGACTGCAATGACTTTTAAGCATAGCTTTATAGTATATCACTTGCTGGTTCCTTTTTAATTCTTATGTGCAGTTTTATCATTTAATGTAGATATTCTAGAACAAGCTTTATTATGATAATTTGTATACACTTAGGTTTCTGGTAAGTCTGATTTGTTTAGTGTAACCTTTCAGAATGCTTTGAGAAAATAGGTATTGCTTTTGTTTCTATCCTTAGTGTCACTGCAAAACATTGCATGCAGTTTGTTGCTAGTATTTGAAAATAGTAATGCCGTATAATTTACTTGTGTATTATTGGTTTGAAACATGTAATGCCCCATTTTTGTAGTGTTCATACAACTTAAAAATGCTGCCTTCATTTTCACACACAGTGTTGAAGATGCTGCGAGCATAGTTCATAGAATCAGGCCCTGAGAATAGTTTGTCCCTAAGGAGGAATCCTTTGAGTGTATTCCACTGGTGAACGTAGACCATTCAAGGGCTCCAGTTATAAGGTAAACTTAAGGAACTGTTATAACTGAGAAATTAATGTTCTTTCTGTTAGTTTAGGGTCTGTCTTCAAGTACATGCTTTTTTGTGTTTTTGAAATTATGATTTAATGTTCTAAAATGCAATATTTTTCTATCATATAATGTTAGGTGATTAATGTCTTATAGTTTTTTTTATAAATGTAGATATTAACATATGCTTTTAACTGGCGGTACTCTGACAAATCTGGAGACTCATGAAAAGTTTGCTTTAGGCAGTTAAAGATGGTTAGAATTGAAACTTTTTTTCCCTCCAAGTTCTAATGAAAAGTTTAAGATTTTGGCAATGAATTGGATAGAATAAATTCTGTCAGTATTTAAGAACTTGCAAGTTTCTACACTTTGCCCATTCGAGTGTTTGGCTGCATATATTTTATTTATATGCATGTGAGATGCTGTTTCCTTTTGAGGAAAGTGTTCTCAGCAGAAAATGCCTGGGGTGTAGAAAAGAAGACAAAACAGGAGCTGTACTGAGAAATATCCAAAAGGGGAGCATGCGTTAGAGGTAACCAATGGTGACGTGCTGTGTATATTCCACAATGTACTTTCATAGATGAAACTGTTCAAGTTTTGAGTGTGCAACTTTGTTCCTATGTTAAAAAAATAAACTTGTATTAGTTGAAAGACTACAGATGTGTCTCTTTTAGTGAGTCTTTCATTTTGGGCATTGTTATTAGTGTGTATTAGACTTTTAGAAACACACATTTGAGCAGTTTTCTGATCCCATTGATTTGTTCTTAAGATTTCATATGCTTGTATGACTCCTGCATATGGCTTTCTTTAAATATTTTGTACCCAGGTATGAAAGACATGAACAGCATTGTTCTGCTGATATTGTCCTTTTATTTTTTTTTGTATTGTAGTCATTGTAGAACACTGTTGGAGGATGTGTATATTCCTCTACTGAATATTCCTTGTTTGTACAGCATTTCTTCTCTGTACAACAGAACTGAAACATAAGTGTTAACGTTCTGTACAGTACCTTTGAGTTTGTGAGCTTTTTTTCTGCTAGTCCCCTTCAGAAGTCATTTTTAAGTTTTCACCTCTCTAAAACAGCAGTTCTTTGCTTAATTTAGGACTTTTTTAATGCCGTTGCTTTGAGCGTAGTTAGGCTGGACTTCATTGAAAAGTCCCCTCCGGTTGAACATTGTGTGAAGTCTCAGATGTGCAGCACGTATCTGGTTTGTTTTATTGTGGGTAGATCTGAATACTAAGTATGGATAGCACAAATTAAGGCACCTTGTAACCAAAGCCAAGAGTTTTTGTACCTAGGTTTGTAGTAAGTGAAATCAGATTTGGGCCAGGCCTTCTAGAAATCCACATTATGCTTGTGTGTGAGGGGTGTAAGAGGAATAACTGGGAATTTCACATTGCTGTCTGAATTGTTTTTGCAGTGGAGGTTTTTTTCCCCACTGTAAGACCCGAATAAGTCAGTTGTGCAATAAATGACACTAGAGTGGTAAGACTTTTAAAATGTTTAATTTAAATTTAAAACATCACAAATTTGGTTGTGCTGAAACTGGAGGTTTTTGCACCAACAGGATGGTGTGCACTTTTTAGAATATATTCATATCAAAGCAATTACCTTTTGTAGCGTTCTCACATTTTGCCATTTAGTGTGATCATGAAATTATGAAAACCAGAAGCTACAATGTTTCTGTATCTGTTCTACAAAATCAAACTTCCTATAAAGATCAAAGAAACAAGGTTAAAAACTTTACAACGGGTTTAAAAAAACTTTTAATGTAGGTTCTCTTCACAGGCTTCATTCATATTCAGTTCTTCATCTTCAGGGCTCAAGAGTTTAGTTTCTGAAGGCTGTGATCAATAACATTTTCCCCTGGTGCCTGAATTACACTTAAAATAGCATTTTAGAATTCAAAAATCAAGACTGCTTTTGAGATTTCTGTACATCAGAAGAATAATGGAAAATCCAATTGCACTTTAAGTTATAGGATTAAAAAATATCAGTCAGATTACTTATGTAAAGAATTTTGTTCTCTGGTTTGGCACAGTTGAAAATGAAAGTGTTTAAAATCTACTTCTGTATTTTCTGAATGAAGAGCTGGGTTTAAATGAGGAGGAGCAAGGTATAAACTGTGCTATTTTTTTTAACCATGGAGGAATGACACAAATCCCAGATTTTAATATTCTTTTGGCCCCACCATAAGAAAGATGGAGTATGAAGATGGACACAAAAGACATGAAGGACAGGCAAAGTTCCAGTAAAGCAAGGGCATCAGTAGTCCTCAGCTAGAAGAGAAAAAAGGAGAAAGTTAGAGCTGGGAGAAGAAAGCAGAGGTGTGAAGTAAGAAAAGAATGAAATTGTGTCGCCGTGGTCCTGGGATCTACTCCTTGATGGACGTGATGTGAGAAGACCGCTATGGTGACTGATGCTTACTTTCAATGGTAAGAATGCAGGTGCTTGCAGCTGTGCCTCTGCTGTTCACTGCTTTGCACATGTATTCTCCCTCATCTTCTGGAAACGTCTCTGGCAGGAATAAGCAGTACGTTTCTCCCCTTTCTATGTATTGATAGTCCTCGCAGTCCTGTAGCATTTCTCCTTCGAACCACCAGGTAACTTCTGGTTTCGGTTCCCCGGTGATTTTAACGGTGAACCGGACTGGTTCGGCATCCACTACCGACAGGTTCTTCAGAGGCTTTTTGAACCACGGAGCCCCAGATCTCGCGTGTTCCTCTTCGTCTTCGCACGTTGATCCATTGATGATGCTCCCTTCCTCCTCATCCTCCTCTTCCCGCTTCTGCAAAAAAAAAAGGTTTATAAAGTTTTTAATGGGAAATGTGAGTTCTGGACATTTTAAAAAAAAAAAACAAGTTTAAGTAGCCGTTGAGGTAGGTAGGTGGGGTATGGCGGGAGGGAATTGACGTCTCACCTTTTGCAAGGCCGCATCGATTTCTTGCTGCTCAAACTGCATCCTAAGTAGTTTCTGCTCTTCAATTCTCTTCCGCTCCTCTTCCTCTCTGGCTTTTGCCATTTGCTCGAACCGAGCTCTCATGTCCACCTTGTGTTTAAATGGGGCTTCCTGAACTTGGGAGACCTCCCTTCTGGCCTCCTCTGCATCTTCCTAGAATGATTCGTAAAAAAATAATTTTAGGTGTAGTGGCTAAAGATAGTTTGTATACTGGATCTACAAGGCTGCTGGGATGGGGCCTGGCTGTTTTGAGTACAACTCGTCAATACCTCAGAAAAAGGTAAGTAACCAAAAGCGAGGGCTGAGTCCCAGAATTTCCTGCATGATTGTTGAAAATGCTTCTTTTGTACTCCATTTACTCCATTAAAAAGGTAACATTTTGCATGTATGAGCCTCGGCCTTTATAGAGCCAGTTAAATCTGAATGGAATTTAGTCATTTGGGAACCACTATTGCAGCCCAAATCTTGGTGGGACGGATTCGGCCTACACTTCCCCTTGACTACAGGTGGTGAAGAAATAGGTGAGGAACTGCAAGCTAAGATCTGAAAAAATACACTGCTGGATATTCCAGAGCTGGTGGCTACAATGGAAATTCAGTATGTCCTCATATGACGTATGACAACAAGGGTAAAATGTTAACTTCAGGAGGGATGTGCTGAAAGATTAGACATCACTTGGGAAGGACTGTACTTGCCTCCTGGAATCGTTCACTTTCCCTTTCTTTGATTTCGATATCGATGGCTTTTCTTCTTGCTCTCTCCTCCTCGATTTTTTTCTGTATTTCCTCTTCGGTCAGTTGGCTTATATTTTCGAATTTCGATTTCAAGTTCTTGGCGTGGATGGAGCCTGCTCTCTTCAGCTTTAACAGTTCTTCGTACTCCGCGCTGACGACGTCACTGCTCTCATTTATTTCCTCCTGTTGAAGAGAGGCAGGTGACTTGGGCCGGGCTGCAGCTGCAACACTTGACAGGGTTTTAACATTAAAACGAGTTGAAACGTTACCGCAGTGCTCGCTAGAGGGTGCAAGTGAGAAGGGTTTCACAAGGCTGTCTGGGGATTTTGATCAAAGTTAATTTTCTACAATTTCTGAAAGTAAAACTAGCTTTTCACATAAAAGGTAGAGTTCATTTGTATGGGGAAATAGATTAAATGAATTTGAGTTTTGTTTTTTTAGTGTAGAATAACATGCCAACCTCTCCCATTTCCTGTCTGAGCTGCTCAAATTCCTGCTTCTCCAGTTCCAGTTTTTGCCTGCGTTCCTCCTCTGTGCGCCTCTTTTCAGCTTCCTCCTTCTGCCTCAGCAGCTCCTCGAAGTTAATGTCCAGTTTCCCAGGTGCTAGAGCCTCCTGAGACTCACTTTTTATTAGTCCCTCTTCATCGTCGAGTACCTGCCCAGGGGAAAGGACACATTTTACACTCTTGTCTTGAGCACCATTGTGCTTTACTGCTGACAGATTATGGACTAGAGCCTATAGCTGAATTGTTCACATGCACAGCTCAGAAGCCAGCCTTTCACGTGCATGCAAGCACAGGAACAAGCAAACGTCCTGAAAGAGATTCTTCTGGATTTTTTTTTAGGCTGCAGGTTGGTAACCTGTCTAAGCTGTCCATTACCTTAAATGCTTCTGCTATTGATTCAAACGTAATACCTGATGTTACTTTTTTTTTTGCTATTTTAGTATTCTGTTCATCAAGGAAAAAATATTTCATGGTATTGATGTACAATATAGCACATTTAACAACACATTCCAATACAGAATCGTCTGACAATGCTTCATTTCAAAAAAGGAAAAAAAAATCTTACATTATCTCCATATCCAGTTCCTGAATTTTCCTGATCCTGGCCTGGGCTCTTTAAAAACAATTAGGGACAGTCGAAAAAGCATTGCTACCATCTGAGCATGTCTCATTAGTGGTTGAGTACAGTTTCTGGAGGTGATCCCCCGTTCGCATTGTTGAAACAAAATGCTTTTAAATAATTTTAGATGAAGGTGCATTTGAATATAAAATACTATGCTAGAACGGTAAAAGCACACAGCCATAAACCAGATGCCATTAGTCAGCATGTACAATTAGTACAAGTCAAAAATACCCAATTCCACTGTAGATATTTCCAGTAATACACATAGTGACGGGGTAGGGCAGCGGTCACTGTCCCATACAGTGAGATGCTAGAAGGACGTGGTGCACATCTCTATAGGTGCGTGTAGGCGCACTAAAATCTGAAGCGGGTAGGCGTGAGCGAGCGCCAGGACCCTTCACAAATTTCGGAGAACGGTCTCGTTCCGGGATTCCTTCCTGCTGCAAGCCCGAAGGCTGTGACTTCTGCCGATGGCGATGAGAGAGGTCCTGCCGCTGCAGCCGTGCGAGCGGGCCGGACGAAGCGCGGCGTCCACGCTTCCCTGTCGCTCGTCGGAGCGGTGCGATTCACAACCCCCCCCCAACCCAAACACGCCCCCCCCCCCAGCGGGTCCTACCAAGCTCTTGCGCGCCTCGGCGAATATCCGCTTCTCCTCCTCCAGCCGCCGCCTCGCCTCCTCCTCCGCACGGCGCTGCTCCTCCGCCCGCCGCTGGCGCTCCAGCTCCTCGAAGCCCAGGCCCAGCCTGCCCGGCTTCACCCCCTCCTTGGTGAGCAGGGAGGCCAGCGGGTCGTCGGAGTCGTCCAGCACCTGCGGGCGGGAGCAGAATCGCGCTGAAAGCGGCAAAGTGATTACCCAAAAAACAAACAAACAAACAAACAACCACCTGCTTTTCAGATTGTTTAAGAACAGCAACAACTGGGAAAGTCTTTACACCAGGAAATAAAACTGAAATCGCTGGACATTAAATCCAGAATAAAGTATCATTTTAATTATAGCCTGCTCTGTTGCAATGAGCTGTACAGGCACTCCCCAGTTGGTGCGGTCAGCCCAGTACTGACCATGCTCTTTCTGGCTTCGGCGAAGGCCTTCTTCTCCTCCTCCATGCGTCTCTTGGCCTCCTCCTCCGCCCTCCTCTTCTCCTCCTCCACTCTCTGCCTCTCCAGCTCCTCGAAGCTTAGCTTTAACTTCCCCGGGCGGAGATCCTCCTTCAGGGACTGGGCACCTTGTTCCTCCTCCTCTGTGCTGCCCTGGAACAAAACAGTCGCTGTCTTCTTTTGCAGTTCCGCAGAACACAAGTCTGAAGTCAACTTGTGAGTGTGATTATCAGTCCCTTGCATTTAAAGCTTCTTCAAAATGTGATCAACCTATAGTCTCCCAACATGAAGACATGTAACCTAATTATGATCTGTTGCTTGTTTTATGACCTGGAGTTCTCAGAGGTGTGGTGAATCCACACTCTCATGGGGAACAAAAATAAATTGATGTGACTTTCAGCGTTAGTGTGATTGTGTCAGTTCTGTCCACTGATACCCATTTTATGCTGGAGGTCCAGATATTCATCTATGCATTATTCTATGCAGCTCCTCTGGTTACCATTTGCAACCTGGCTTCCTCGAAGGCCCTCCTCTCCTCTTCCAGACGCCTCCTGGCCTCCTCCTCCGCCTGCTTCTTCTGTTGCTCCTGTCTCTGCTTCTCCAGCTCCTCGAAGGTCAGCTTCAGCTTGCCGGGGGTGACCTGCTCCTTCACTTCCTTGGGTTGCGCTTCGTCCTCCTCCTCGAGAAATCGAGAACAGACGCGGCTTAACACGTTCCGCTCGAAGAGAGGTCGTCGGGTGTCAAGAATGAAACCTTGCCAGTCACACGTGCTGTAGCTGCTGAAGGAAAGTCAGTGCCAGTGGAAATGGGGGGGAGCTTTGAATGTCCCCACAATTGGCAATCTGTTCTGTCTGTGAACTCAAGACTGTGAAGCTGAAGAAACTGCATTCTGTTTGCGATCATACGGGGAGAGATTGTACTCGCTGGCACCATCGGTCTGCAGCTTTTGTCATTTCCTTTGCAGTTACTAACGGTGAACGTGTGTTGGCTCAAGACATGCATGGACAGCCAGGGGACTCTCACTGCATGTGCCCTCGTTCACCCAGCAGAACGTGACCTCTCCACGTTCTTCAGGCCTCAGCTGATAAGGTGGAGAAGCAGGCAGCTGGCAGGGCTGCGATCTGAAGGTCTCCCCTCCGGGAAACGGGGGGCGAATCCAATCTTAGAAACGATTCTACCGCAACCCCGCCGGTGTGCCCGCTCCCGACTCACCGAGTGGACCACGGAGCGCCGTTTCGCCTCGCGGAAAGAACGCCGGTGCTCCTCGTATCTCTTCGTCTTCTCCTCCTCTTTCCTCTTCCTCTCCTCCTCCTCCCGCGTCTTCTCCAAGTCCTCGAAGTTGACTTTGATTTTGCCTGGGGTCTTGGATGTCTTCACCGGTACCACCTTCACCAGCAGGGAGTCGTCGCCTTCCTGCGCATCACATCAAAGAAGGGTGTGCAAACACACAGGTGTGCGCAGACACACAGGTGCGCGCAAACACACAGGTGTGCGCAAACACGATTTCATCTCCTTGATCACTGTACTCCAGAGGAAGACAGATGTTGCATCATTTTGTTTTTTATTACCAATATTTATTGAGACTGTTCTGAAAGTCAGCTGCATTTCTCTGTAATGGTGAGGCTGCCAATGTCTATTTCTAATAGGAACATCTGATTTGCATTACTGAACAAAATCGAGGCGATGACCTGAGACACAGCTGGAAGCCACACGATCTGAGGGGACCAGCTGTGGCTGCTCATGGCTTGCTGTTCACAGCTCCCTCCATGCAACACTGATTTTAGAATTCCCGATTGTGTGTCAGGGACGATTGATGGAACCAGACAACACTGGTTAATGCAGCACTGGGGAATCGATTTTTTAGCGCACTTGGCCTTTAAAGTTTCCTGGAAGCTTTCCTGGATTTGGCAACTGCACATTCGAAAACAACTTGAGAAATAGAAAATAATTTTTGCCCAATACAAAGTTAACTGGATTTTTTAAACAGATTTAATTAGCTACATATACTCATTAGAAAGGGCTTCAAAGGGATACAACATATGGGAACGTAAAATTGCTCTTCGAAAGGGACTTAAGAAAATATTTACCTCGGTTTCTGAGCCACATCCAGTATTATTTAAGTCATCAATCTAGTAAATGAAAAGTTTATTTTATTAGGTTTAACTTGAGAATAGTTTCGGTCACAGGTGCAGACGGTGTGCTTTAAAGTGTTAGTGATGGGAGTACAAAAAATTTGTGAAGCACATTTTAAACAGCAGTGAAGATTTTGTGAATACATCCCGAGAGTTTTCAATATTTTAATTAATCTGTTTTCGTCCATCCATTTTCTATTCTGCTTGTCCATACAGGGCTGCAGGAGGAGCCAGAGCCCATCACAGGACACACACAGACACACACACGCACACACACTGGCCAGGATGCCAGCCCATCACAGGACACACACAGACACACACGCACACACCCTGGCCAGGACACCAGCCCATCACAGGACACAGACAGACACACACACACACACACACCCTGGCCAGGACGCCAGCCCATCACAGGACGCACACACTCGCACCAGGGCCTGTTTTTACAGAATCCATTATCCTACCAGTACGTCCTTGGACAGGGAGGAAACCCACGTGAATGCAGGGAGAACACACAGACACCACGCAGACAGAGCCCCAGGAATTGAACCCAGGGAGGATCTGGGGTTCTGGGAGGTAGCGATGCTAACCCTTGTGCCACTGTGATGCCCAATGTACTAGTTTATGATTTCTAATAATACAATTTAAGCTTAATATAATTCAGGGAATCATCATTCATTCACTTTGACATCACAGCGGTATGAAACATAGACTGGGCCACAGTACATTCATAATAAAATAATCACCGTACTTTCTACTAGCAATACCTGCATACAGAGAGGGAGCAACTAGGAGACTGAATGATGCTTGGGTTTTTTAGCTACGTTCATTATGTGGTGGTTTAATAAATCAATTAAGATGCATACTATATAAGGAGAAAGAAAGCACTTTATAAAACAAAGAAAAAAGGTCAGGGTCTTTTTTCTTGTTAAAGAAAAGGAGTATAATGAATCTACGGCTAAGGTAGGTTGTATGAACGCTGGATAGAGTGCCAGAGAAACTGGGCTGTGAACTGGGGTGCAGCTCCATCAAAGGCATGAATTCAGTGAAGTCTGATGTAAACCATCACTGTTCTTTCAGACATTCCCAAAGTTTTGGGCTTGTGCTCATACAGTGACTGATGACATTGGGAATGTGTGCCTTGCAGCATGCTGAATGGGTACTGCTGCTGCTCTTTCACTGTGCACAGAAAGATTTACCATGTAGTCTTCACAGAACATTTTTCCTGAGCTAATGTGCATGTTGTCCAAGTGTCCCGTCCCTTGGATAAGACGTAAGACCGAGGTCATTTAAAATCCCAGGGTGTTTCTAGAAAAGAGGAGGGGTGTTACCCCGGCGTCCTGGCCAAATGTCACGGCCTCCTAATAATCCCCATCTCTGAACTGGCTTCATCTCTTCATTCTCCCCACTGAGAGCCGGTGTGTGGTGAGACTACTGGTGCACTCTGGCTGCCGGCACATCATCTAGTTGGGGCTTACACTTTGGTGGAGGTAGTGGGATACACCACTGTAAAACGCTTTGAGTGGAGTGGAGTGTCCAGAAAAGCACTATATTTCTGTAAGTATTATTATTATTATTATTATTATTATTATTATTAAAAATCTTGCTCACTGCATTTAGGAAATCAGGATACCTGCTGTGCCAGCCCCATCACTTTGTAACTAATAGGAACAGACAGTGAAGAATGATTTAAATACACTGGCCATGGGGTAACTGAGAGAGCTTGCAAGCAATACTGATACTTCTGGCTGCAAATTACAACACTTTCAGAGACGGGCTGCATCTTGGTTGACATTTTCCACTGTTCTCGTTGGGGACAAGCAGAGCCGCCCCCGCCCCCGCCCCCCCAAGACTCACCTCCTCCGCCTTCTTGGCCAGCTCCCGCTGAATTTTGGACTTCTCCAGGGTGTCCTGCGTGAGTCTGCGCTGCCTCTCCTCCACCGTCCTTTTCCTCTCTGCCTCCTGCCTCTGCTTCTCCATCTCTGCAAACTTGCCCTTCACACTCCCTGCACAGACAGTGGCAGGGCTCGGACCGCTGGACTGGAAACGAGATCTCCCTCCCTGAATCTGTGACCCTCCGTCGAAGTGTTTGCCAATGTGCTTCAAAAAAACTGCTCGTTACTACTGCTTTGAAAACCACTGATTCTATCGCTAACACCATTACAACCGCTGCTAATACTGCTTCTAGCACTAATAACAGTCTTTGATGTCAGTGCATTTGAAAGAGTTCTTCTAGCGTTCCACCTCTGTATTTTCCTTCTTACCTGTGATTTTTGGTACGTAGGATTTTTCTGGTTTTGCTGGCTTTGTGTCTTCTTCTTCATCAGAAGCAAGGAGTTCTTTCATCTGTCACAGATCAGAGCAAGAGTGTCTGAGGTTAAGAGCTTAATCCAGGATCACCGTCCGCACACGTTCGCTCTTTCAGGGCCCATGCCAATTTGCACAATCCATGCGGCTTAATCTCGGCAGAGCACACAGACACGGAAGGCCGTGCGGGATCGGATTAGGCCACTTCGTCACACGAGGGAGGGAGAGAGGATCAGACTAGTACACAGCTGAAAAAAAAGGAGAAATACTGGGACTCTAGTCTAGACTGGAGTCTAATATTTCTGGAAGGATTACAAGAGATTCTTGATTTATTTTCCTCTGCATCAGGGAACAGATCTGATCTTTACTATTTCTGATAAGCAGTGTAAATTCTTATGCATCATCAGACAGATGTCTGGTACAAAATTATAGTTCTTTAACATTTTTTTTTTCTTTACTTGCAGCAACTTTATTTTTCCAGAGTCAGTTCCCGTGTATTTTGCAACAAGTTAAGTACAGGTGAATTTCACGCTGAAAAGTTGAAGGGGGAAACTTTGTTTCTTCTGCTTTTCAACGTGGAATTAGATCGTACTTGTTCCCTTGCAGCCAACGCGTGCTCCCTGTTCAAACCTACTTGCTCTACGCCTCACCTTATGAGCAACCGTGTTTCACATCCACCTTTACAGAATGCAAACCTCTGAACGTACTCAACGTTTTGCTGCGCCTCACCTTGGCGTCATGATTTAACTATGCGAGCACAGACAAAAAGGATCCTGGAATTATTTTGAGCACCATGAGTGCTCACAAAACAATTATCTACCCGGGAAGTGGGGGGGGAGGGGGGTCTTTGTTGTTTCTGCATTCTATTTTTGGGTGCCTGCCATGCTGAAAGGTGAGCACACAACTGAAGGTCACCCCTAACAGTGTTCAGCCCAGGCCATGCAAGGCGTGATTAATTGGGTTATCCGTGCGGACCTGCTGTTTTCTGCGGTTCCGCTCTTTCTCTCTAATGTACTGCTCCCTCCTCCTCTGGTGCTCCTCCTGACTTCTCCTCTGGCTCCGCTCCTCCCTGGCCTTCTGCATCGCTTCAAACTTATTCTTAACATCCCCCTTCCCAAGCTTGGGCACGTAGCATTTCGCGACGGGTTTGGAGGAAGAAAGAAGGATCTTTGGAGAGACGGGGAGGAGAGGGGAAAGGGGACAGGAAAGGGTTGAAAAGGGGGCGCCACGGTGATTTTGGGCAGGTTGCTGTGGCGGTCTCCACTCCCACCAGCCGAGGAAAACTGGCACGGAGACACGGTCCGCATCCAGAACCGAGAGCCCTTAGATCCGCTACCTCTGCAGCCCCCAGTGTACACGTCTATGACACACTCCTCAGACGGTGATGAAACCCTCTCCAGTATAATACAACTGCACTGTAACATTAACACTGTACCGTTTCTGAAGTGACGCTCCTGAGGAAAATACAATTCTTTAGCTGCCAATCTAAAGGCTTTTACTGTTTTTAATCACCCCTCGGAAGGCATGAGGGACTTATTCTGAAAGGCACCTCATGAGCGCCAGCCACAGCTGTTTATTTTTCAAAGAAATGCCCCTGCTTTGGTAGGTGGGAGCAGATAATCAGAAAAGAAAGATTTCAGAATGTTTTATAAAAGGAATGTGTTAGGATCTTCCCCTGAAGAGGTGGGGAAAGGGACAGAATGTGTGGGTAAACTGTAAACCTTGGGATTTTAATAACATGCTCCAGTTTTCAGACTGATGGCACAGTCTTTAAAACTATTATGATTGAAAGAGAAATAATTTTCGGTGACCTACTGAGAGACACTTGCAGTTCTGTATCTATTCTTCTCATCTACTGTATCTTTCGACAGCATTTTAGTTTCGGCTACATGTTGAAATTCTTTTTTTTTACTGTAATCCCAAATTTAATTCTAAAGGACCACTCAGAAGCACTGAACGATTCATTACCATTCCAATAAAAACATGCACTATTGAGCTTTTTTTCCTGGATATGTGATCTTTCCATTGTCACTCTGCGTATGAAGCCCCACACACGAGAGAAACCGGATTCCTGGAAGCTAAGAAAGTCTCCAGTCAGATGGAAAGCTTTTTTTAAAAAAAAACGTCAGAGTTAATTTAGAGAAGTAAAAATCTTGGACAAGCACCATTTTCTTTTCCTAGCTCAGCAATCCTGTCCTTGCTGTGACTTTGTCATCATTTCTGCATATATCCTATTTAAAACTACTACAGGTAAGTCTCATTTAGTAATGCCCTAACCATTTACAAATCACATCAGACAAGCTGAGCTGATTTTTTTTTGTATGTGTGCTGTCCAGCAACACCGGACCAAGTGAACTGTCCAGCTATTTCCAGGACCACTCACCTCTGTCTTCTGTGCCACATCAGTCATGGCTGTGTTTCTGATGCTTAGACTGGGCACTGGACACTGTCTGCACACTGGTCTTCAAAAGGCACCTGAGCAGGAAGAGGAGTGAGCTGTTTGAGCAATAGAAACACTACCTTGCAACGGGCTTGTCACTCCCCATGGGTTAAACGCCAGATCACACAATAACAACACATGAACAGGATGTGGTTGTGGTTTGAATTAATATCCTAATGGGTAAAAGGGATTTCTTTCTGCACAGTAGTGTAACAGCCCATGAAATCTAATTGTTTTTTATTAAGAGAATGAATCCATTCTAGAACAACGACTGTGTTATGAGCTTTCACCAAAGAGGCATGTGTTTGGAAAAACGCGCATTTCCTGTTCTGAGGACAAACAAATAGGATATGCATAATTTCCACTTAAAAATTACCTCCGTAGTAGGAGCTGCAGACATGGATCTCGGCTGCTCTCCCAGTGGCATTAAGAGAAACTTGGTTAACTTATTAAATTAAAATTAAGCCTGCTGTCAAACATAAGACTTCATTCAGCACTTGTCTCCAAGTTTAGTTTTCATGAAGCCTTTTAGAAATGGGCTGGATACTTTTGACAAGAAAATGACTATAAACTCCAAACACCCTGCGTCTGCTCTTATCAATGGCCCTGTTGAGTACAAGAGATTCCAGCAATACCTTCTCAATTGAGACGTGCATAGATCTGTGACATGTGCCAGGCTGAAGGGCCACACTCCTCTGTCTTGTTTCTATAAACCAGCCACCAGTTACAGTCCTGTGCCTCCTGTGTAACAGCTGTGCTAATCGGAAATAATTTGGCACTTTTATAAACAAATATAACACTTTGAGATAAAACGGATTTCAATGTTTGATGTGGAACAGAAAAACAATAAAAGAACAGTTATTCAGATAAAAAAAAACATTTCTGCACAAGTTACAGTATGTACAGTAATTACACTATGTAATTATCACTCCTTACACATCTGTATATCTTGAACAGAGGACAAAATATACATAGATTACACCTTTTCCAATGAGGTACTATGCCCAGCTATGCCTGCTGAAATAATTGGTTAACTCCACAGCCGGTACAACATGCTAACTTGCAGATGGGAAGAAAAGAGTAAAAAAAAAAAAGAAAAGAGCCCATGTGATCTGATTATGCCAGTGTTATGATGTCATTTCCTCATGCAGTAAATACGCAGCTACACATCAGCAAAAAATCATACAAAGCAGTTTTAAAAAATGTTCCAAAACGGCTTAATGTTTGCTTCAGTCATAAATACACTAAAAAAGCATTAAAATGCTCTGGATTAAAATGTAGTGGAATCCCTCTGACAAACATGAAAAAAAAGAGGTAAGAGGATTTCAGAAGCACCAAATGCAATTACAGTAGTTGATTTTATTTTGCAAAGTGCTGTGCGGCATGGGTTTTAAAGTGCAATCTTGCCTGACAAACCAGGACTGAGTGTGACTAATTTTTCTGGCGGAAGCAGGCGTGACGTCCAGGTTTCGATGAGTGCGAACCGGGTGTTGCTCAGTGGACAGTGCTGAGACGTCAGGGTGGACGTCACGTCTGGCGTGCTATTTGTGAAACTCGGTCCACAGAGCTTTGTCCTGCGCGCTGATGAGTCACAGCTCAGTGTGCAGAGCAGGTGTACTGACAACAACCGGTCATCGCTCCAGTTTGGGAGCCGACGTCTCGGCAGCAAGCACAGTGATGTCAGCCTCAACAGTATGGGCAGGGCTCGCTGTGCGCTTACCGATCTCGGAGGAACTGCTACTGAGCCGTTCGCCTTCTGCCGAATTGTACATTCCCAACACCAGCTCGCCCGATTTCTATTTGAATCGGTAATTCTGATCACCGACAATAATCCACTCCAAATCAGGAAGGCCACTAATTTCCACCGTGCTGAACACATTAGCAGGACAGACAAGGGCAAAAGGTTGCCTTTCCTCAACCCCATTGAACCTGTTTAAGCGCACCTGGGGGCAATCCCGTGATTCCCAAACTCTATTCCCCACTCTGCTCCCTGAGGAAAGGGGGAAACTCCATCCACCTGTTGTTAGAAACCTGCAGAGACTAGTAAAGGTCACAGTGGCCCAGAGCCTATGCTAGACGCACACCGCTAGGCCTCAGCCATGGAGGAGACAGCAGGACGCGGGGCGAACATGCACACTCCCCACGGAAGGTGCCCCCTGCTCTGGAATCAGACCTGGGACCCAAGGACAGCGGCGCTCACGTCCACGGTCTCATGCCAACCCCTCGAGAGGGGACTACAGCCCCACAGACTGCTGTCAGACTCCGCTGTGAGAGCCTCCCCCGTCATGGCCTGGATGTGCACGCAGCCATCTTTCACCCCTGTGACGCGAGTTAACCTCTACAGGTTTCGCAGCTCTGCCAGCCTGGGGCATCCTTGGTTTTCATCGCTGTTTTTTTTTTTTTATAAGAGCTTGTTTGACTTCATTCTTGGGTCCACCTCTCTACGTTTTTTTATTTGATTTCGCCGGTTTTAGAAGCTCATATATAGCGTTACAATTTGCAGACTGCTGCTCATTAGATTTTACTCACTGAAGCTTGGGGGGGTAAAGACTTCACTCCGTTTTAAGACGGACGTTAATAACTGTCACAAGGTAGGTAACATACAGTACGTTGTCATAACTGATTAGGCTAGTCAAGAGATAATCGTTAAAGCAGATTTCGTTGTGTCACTCAGCGGCCCTGGATGCAAACCATATTCAAGTTTCTGAACATTGAATTTTGGTGGCTTTGCCTGTGACAGTAATACTTCGGAATACTCTTGTGTCCCAATCTCCTGGAAAGTCCGGCGACTGGAATCGCCACACCGAGCACCAAAAAAGGAAAGTCTAATTTTACCAACGATAACTGCTGCTGTACAAGTCGACCGGCTGGACACGGGCCGGTGGGTGTATTATTAATCTTGTACACATTATCGGAGGTCACATCCCCAAACGAACACACATGCTTAAACTGTCCTGCAGGCTGGATGGGAGGTTGTTGCTTACTTCTCCCCTGGCCTAAAGCCAGAGAAAATACCTTCGGTTCAGTGGAAAGAAAGGTTTGCCTCCCACGTGTGGCGTATTTTACATACCTTCACCTGTTGTAGATTCCTCATTAAAAGTTTTCTAAACGCATTCAAGCTGCAATGTCTCATTACCAACCGCAAACAAACAACATTTCTCTAACAGTTTAAGCATGAAACTCGACTTTCCCCTATTAGTTATTAAGAACGCCGAAGTGTGCAAATCACACCAAAATCAATGCTAGACGTGTCCGATATATACAGTATATGTCCCAGTGCTGATATTGTCTTCTGCTAATGGAGCTGGTTTTAGCATCGTAGGGATGCCCGGTGCAGTCATGCCGTCAGATTCCACAAAGCGCATAACTTTCTTTTCTTGTTCCGACGTTTCAAAAATCCATTTTACAACCAATATCCTGACCTTAGAAAACGAAGCGATATTTTTGTGGCCAGAGAGTAACTGAATCCCCCCCCACAAATTAAGTTAGGTAAGCAGACTGGCATCGTAGATTCTAGAGAAGTGTCATTTTCATACCAATTTATCTTTTTTTTCCTACCCAAAAAAAAAACAGCAAGGTGCTTAGTTACCTTTTTTTTTAGGACGATCTATTCAGCAGCTTTCTGACATAAGAATTTCCCCCTGGAAGAAAGGATCAACCGGTAAAAAAACCGACGCCGAGCTGTAATCCGAAATTGTGGCAGACAGGAGACGCGTGTAGCTCACTCACTCGGGTTGCGCGCAGCGCCGTGTGAGTGAAGTGACGGCTCCGCAGCCAGTTTCCATAAAAGTCTCGTTTCTCTCTCCATCTACCGCATTCCAGGCAATCCAGAGCCAGGCTTCAGCTGTTCCAACCCACACACATGGCTTTTCCTGTCTGTCCGAAACCCCCCTGCCCCCCCGCCAGCACGCTGGTTACAGGACGAGAGACCTGGTGCCCCTGCTCCTCACTCGCTCGCTCCAAGAGTCTCTGTTTCTCCCCCGACGGGCTCTTTCTGCTGGTCGCCTGTCCTTGCCGGCTACCGGGCTGCAAAAACCCTTCTAGTGTTGCTTTCGAGGGTGCAGGTGCCTGAAAAAAAAAATCACGCACGCAACGATGTTCCTCTGAAACGGAATTTCGACGTGATTCATCCGAGCCTATCTTCTTGTAAAAGGTCTTTGCAGAAATAAAGGAATCTCAGAACTGCGCCTTTTCTATATTCTTTATTGATGACCTCCCAGTTTTTCTATTTTTTTTTCCCTCGTTTATGGTGCAATAAAACAAGGAACTCGCTTGACTGGGAAAAGTTTTGGAATTACAGAAGCCTCATGTGATCTTAAGAGGGACCTAAGGTGGTGTTTGACCTGCATCGTATGCCAATAGTCGGCGAGTTCCTCTTCGTACACATCGTCAAAATTGATCATATTTCCTACAATTGCGGGATTAGTTTCCTGTGCGCACACGATTTTCTGTAATTGTGTGATGCATTTCCCGACCGATCTTCACATTTAAAGCACCTTGCGTTCATGTCAGTGGCGACATGACGCTGCGCTGTACGAGGAATACCTTGCCTGTATTAAGAACAAATTAAGAGAACAAGAGAAGCTAACCAGCGAGATTGAGCAATCCAGACCATTCGTTTGTTAGTCGGTAGCTAAACCCATCAGAGTATCTGCTTCATCAACATGGCGGGGAACTTGCTCCACGCTTCCATGCGTAAATATCGGACTTCAATTCCCAGTTGAGCACGTCTGTGTAGTTTTCACCCGTGTCCCCTTGTTGGCGTTTCTTTGTAAAGCAGACACAAAATGGCAGTAAAAATACTCTTTCCAGAAGTTTTCCTCTCACCTCGACACTACCACAGTCAAAAACAATGTACTGTAAGTGAGGCTTGGCACTGAGTGCTCATTAGGTTTAAGAAGCGATCATATTCATTTGGCAAACGGGTCTTGTCTGGCACGTCAGCAAAAAAAAACCTCATGACAGACATATCATAAACCAACCATTTCCCCAAAGAGTCACCCTGCTGTATTGTTTCGTGACTATCTGGCTTGAAGCCGACTTCTTACGAACACAAACAATTCTGGAGGAGAAGTGAATGTGGTCTTACTCAACATATCAAGTGGTGACATTTCTGTTATTTAAAGCCTAAATATTGCTTCCAAAACATTCTCTAGTCCTCCTGCTAAGAAGAGATACAACCCAATGATATCTTTGGCACATGTCAGCATATTCCATTCAAACTCCCCAAGTCTGTATACATACTTCCTACACCGGTGCATGCCAAGACAATTATGAGAGAGTTTAGTCTGAAGCCTGAACTGAATTTTCTTACGGTCCTCTGCATGTCCTCAACAAAACGAATGCACTTGATGGTTGGAAAAAAAGCAAAACCCCAAAGCCAGTTAACGTTTGTTCATTCTTTATTTGCAGACAATATGCACACAGGTCGTGAAAATTTCATTTTTACGCACAAGAGAAAAGTGCTGCTTATATACTGTATAGGTATATAAAAATAAAATTAACTTCGTTCTCCCTTGATCCATGATTCTACTTAACACCTCCTAAAAGGGATTTTTTGGCCTACTGTATTGTCTTGAAAACTCTTCTGGTCCTATAACTGCCTTCCCTTCTCCGAGTGATCATGCAGTACAACAGGGACTGCAGGGCCGACAATCTGAGTGACCACAGGCAACAGCGCCATGACCTCTCCCCACAGGCCCTCAGTCCACTGCTTGCTCAAACACCCCCAGAGGACCGGTGCAGCAGGCATGGCCAGACTCCCGGCGCCTCGTCATGTTTCTCAACCTTTCACGGAGAACAAAAAGCGCAGCTGGATTCTGACTGAGTGCCTCTCCGCCTCCTGCTTTTTTGAGGAAAAATCTTAAATCGGGAATATGGAAAACGGTGCCGGACAAATGCTAAAAATTCATAGCTTCCCAGGACATAAGTAAGGCTTTATATATATGTGTGTAACAGAAAGTAATGATACATTCACAGCAGCCCTGCTCTGCAGTATAAAAAGGCCAGCTGACGGTATTTGAAGATGAACAGTTCCAATGCAATCCCAGCATTATGAGGTCCAGTGTAGAGTGCCAATAGTAGTGTACAGAGACGTGCGTTACATCAGGCGGGTGCAGGGTGTTGAAATAAATGTTGTGACAAGGCAACATCAAGCAGCAGTGTGGCTTTAGGCATACAATCGTAGTACAGGATCAAATGTGTACAGCACAGCCCACATAGCCCACACAGGAAGCCAGAACTCACTTCATATTAACGTACGGCGGTCACTGGACAGTTGGGCAAATTCTACAAGGTGCTGCACAAATATTGCAAGTATTGACAGGACTAAAATAAATACGCCCACCAAGATGATACCTCCGCAGCGCTCGGAAAGTCCCAAGGTATTCCCACAGTAGCAGCTGACCGTCGTCCTTTCTCCCGGGGCTCACTGCACCCGGGCCTCCAGCAGCCCGCCCGCCAGCTCGCGGCCCGGCCCGCTCCCAGGCACGCAGCCGTTGACCCGCCTCAGGGAGTCGGCGCCCAGGTAGGCCAGGAGGAGCTCGGAGCGCCGGTGGAGCAGCTGGAGCACGTCCTGGGCCAGGCTGTCCACGCCGGAGTACCGCACCTTCTCCAGGTCGAAGATGTCCTTCAGGAAGAACAGAACCTGGTCCTGCGGGAGATCGGACAGCACGGGGCGTGAGCGGGACCGCGCAACGGCTCCCTGGGGTGGGAGCCACCCTCGGGAGCACAGCTCGCCATACGGCGGCGCCCTCCTATAGGGCCACAGCAAAGCTCTGGCCTGTCGTCTGCCAAGACGCAGACCGCAGACTCACAACAGAGCGGACACACATGCCCCATCATGCTCTCGTCCGACAGCGTCTGGGCAACCGTCTCACGGTCACGATCAGCTTGCCGCGGAGCAGCCCCTCCTTTCTGTCCACGCGGAACGGGCGCATTTCGTTTGTCCCAAGCAGCAGCGGACCGGAACGGAGCGGAGCGTCGTAGCCCCACGCTGCGCTCGTTCTGACGGAGCACGTGTCCGAGACACGATATAAAGCAGGAAAAACAAATAAACCCTCCTCCCAGCCTTCAATGTCAAGGAGTCACCCTGGCGTGTCACGGTCGGGCCACTTGCTTTACAGGCCTACAGAGGCGTATTCGTTAAGCCCGGAAGTAAAGATGCTGTGCGTTGAGGACTAAGGCCCCCAATGAAAATCTGACACCATGTGCTGGAAGATTAAATCATAAACATACGAACATGACATCGGAAATTTGCTTTATGGGTTCACGCATGGCTAAATATTTTGACTTCGCTTTTTCCTGGCTGAACGGCAACAAGCAATTCAAAGAGGGTTGAGCCCATTTATGCTGTCGGCGCGAAACCAGAGAGAACCACGCCGAAGCACGCTGCACTCTGTGTCTACTGATCGTTTGGCTATTCATTCAGCAAAAACACTTTCCTTGAATGTCCCTTCAATATGCAGAGAAACGCCGATGCAAAGATGCAATTTCTCAGAGGACAACATGTTTTGGCACCATTTTCGTGAGCCAGTCGACCGAATAAAAACGTTCTCGAGATGGTCCCGTAACTTCTGAACGAAGACGAAACGCTGGTTGGGAATGTGAATATCAGAAATGAATTACTACACACGCTCAGGGAGGATCTGGATGCTACAAGAAGCGTAGCCACATATTACACGGGATCTGTGCGATTTGGGAACGGTGAGCGAGGGGCGACTGAAACCAGCCCCTGCACTGGCAGCAGCATGACAATCCACCCCCCCTAGTCTCGGCGGGGGCTCGTGGACAAGTCTGGAAGAAGTCACCCTTCCAGCACGTCATCAGTTCAGCAGTTCCTATTTTATAGTGTATTTGCCCTCCATTCATCAAGCCCAGCTCACTTTGTGTGCAAAACAAACTGCCCTGCGAGGGAGACAGACACGCCAAGTTTGAAACAAGCGCTCTGATCGTTGACTCACCACAGCAGCAATAAATACCATGATCCCCCAGTCCCTATTAGTGCGGTATTTTATGTTCCAGGGAAGATACTGACATGCCAGAAGGCTATGCAAAATATTAGCTGAAAACACTTGTGCATAATGAAAGGAACTAAAACGCCTTGACATCATCTTAGCCCAGTGACAGAAACCTGGCTTTAGCAGAGACGCACTAAATAAGTGGCACTTAGTAACACAAGCAATTTACATTCTGGATGTTAAACAGAACACGGTTAATTGCCTCCAGGGTGTCGGGTGAATATCACAGTTCACGCTCGGGGGCAAAATCATTTTCTCGTTTTAAAATGCAAAGAATAAACCAGCACAGTCTAGTCTCTGTATTGTCTCCGACTGCTGCCAGCTGGCAGAAGATGATCAAGACTGGGGCCTCAGAGGATCACCTGTGTGCAACGGTGTAGCTGAAGCCATTGAGTGCCAGGGACCGAGATGCATGAGCAAGCTTCACATACCGATTTTTTGAGCACAATAAAAAGGTAAAACACAAAGCACTACACCAAGGTTTTAATTCCACAGAGACTGTTTCAGCAAATGATAGTGATGCAGCAATAGGTAAATGTGGGGAACGCAAACCTCAGTGTCACCAGGAGAGCGATGATGAGTCAGACTGGCTGGAGACAGAAGCTCACATACCTTGAAGAAGCAGCAGAAATCATGCAAAGAACTCTTTGGCCCAAGGAACCCCCAAGCCAGAACGGGGCTAATGTGCTCGCAAACGGCATAGAAGTGTGCAATGAAGCCATCCGGAACCTGTTCGCAAGACAGAAAGGAAGAACTCAGCGCCGAGTCGATAAGAGGTCATCTAGACAGTCGGCGCTTCCAAAGCTCAGCATACTGGATTCTGCAGCTCTTGATCAAAAACACTTTGAAAAATGTTTTAAGGAATATAGTGCTGTGTCACGAGAGCTGGGGATACACTGCAATAGCTGGGAGATGCTGGGAGAGGAACTCTGCTCCTCATGGTTACCTTCATGTGCTGCCTCTTCTGCTTCAGCACTGACCAACAGCTGGAGGCCACAGCCTGGAAGCACACAGAAAACAGCCAGTGACTCAGAAAATAAGAAATAAGAGGCAGAGAGGTGGGACAGAAGATTATACTTCTGACAATTTGGCAGGTGTACTTTCCCATCTGAATTTCCAGGTTAATAGATAAAGGCATTTTGGGGGGTTCCGAGAGATCAAGAGGGCCTCCTACAATCCCATTTTATCCTGACTACCGTTCACCTGATCCCATGTGGGGAGGGGGCCCGACTTGTCAATTGGGTTACTTGCAATGTACAATTTTTACCTTTAAAGCGTGTATTGCGTTTGGCATGTGCTACTGGTATTACTGGCATGTTATCTTTCTTTTGCTTTCATGACAAAACCCTTACATAACACACAACCATGAAGAACACCACAACGAGAGCCAACATCCGTGTAACATTGTTAGAATTAGATCAGTCCCTTTTCTGATCCAGAAAAACAAATGAGACTACAGTGATGCCTCATTTTCAGGTCTTTCAAGTAATTTGTGATCTCACCTGCTGCTTGTGTAAAATGCAGCTACTAGAAAACAAAACCCAAACAGGGGGCACAGGTTACTCCTGTGATGGCATCACTGTAGTGGCTACAGGTGTGTCACAGAATTCATTTTAAAACTCTCTTACTCATATTGAAATCACAAAGTAATATGGCTTCCTGTGAACAGTGCTATACAAACATTATAATATAATATAATATAATATAATATAATATAATATAATATAATATAATATAATATAATATGCAAGCTACAGCATGTGTCTAACTTCCAGCCTGTACGATGGCAAACAGAAAACATTCCTGAGTGTTTCCTAATCAAGTCCCTGATCTGCACTTGACACCGAAAATTCTATGGACTGAGAAATCCTACTCACAATAACCAGATATTTCCTGTTATTTTGGGATCTTTATTCCTCAGATCCAAGGTGAAGTACCGTATATAAAGGCAAACCTTATTAGTGGAGCTAATAATGTATCATTTTCAACCTGACTGTCTCTGAATTCCTAGCTACTTTGTATAAACATCTGTGATGACAATACTGCTGATTACGTTGCATGTCACTGGTGAGTTTCAGGCCGAGAGATGGTCTGCAAGAGAAAAAGTTATTTCGACAGCGCATGCCAACCGCAGAACAAAATGCTGGTAACCAGAAATACTTCACATTTTTTGCTCACAGAAAAAAAACACAAATAGGAATTTGGAGCACCATCTTAAATACGTTAGCTCTCACTCACAGCCTGCAGCATTTGTATTCCCAAAGTTTTCCAAATAAGGCCATGAATAATCAAGACCAACCAATGCTCCTCCTTCACAGCAGTAGACAAAAAATCCTTTGCAAAAGCTTTCTTTGGCAAGGTACACTACCCACTGAACTAAATATACTTAGCTAAAATTGACTTAATGAACATAATGATCGTTAACGAGCTGGTTCATAAATCACATGACAAATCACAATAAACAAATGAAATATGCTGCCAACAGTGGCTATCAAAAGTATTCACCCCCCTTGGACTTGTTCACATTTTAATTGTGTTTCAAAATGGAACTATAATGTACTTAATTGGATTTGTTTTGCCACTGAGCAACACAGAACACTCTATAATGACAAGGTGAAAACAAAATTCTATAGATCCCCAAAAATGTGTTAAAAACTTAAAACTGAAATTAACTGATTGCATAAGTATTCAAGTTCAAGTTTCAAGTTTATTGTCATTACACTCATATACATGGTATAACGAAATGCTATTTAGCTAGCTCTCGGACATAAGTAGTACAAAGAGGAAAAAAACAACAATACAATTGTGTAACAAAAGAAAGACGGAGACAACAGGCAGTGTGCAAAAAAACAACAGGCAATGTGCAAAAAAACAACAACAGGCAATTCACCACCTTGGCACTGATTCATCTCAGTAGGCTCTGGTGCAAATCATCCACACCTGAAATCTGTGACCACTGGACAGTCTGGAAGCTCCCAGAACCAGCACATATACCCCTGGGGGCGAGAATAACAACCTTTCTGTACTACTTACTGTTTCTTTAAAGGAGCTGTTGAGCCAGCGGTTATTGACCACGTTCTGGATGGAAATCGGGGGGTTTTCTAAATCTTCGAAGGAATCCATCAAAATGAAATCCAGGACTATGTCATAAAAATTCAAATGTTTGACCTGCGAATGGACCATGCAAAAGGGCAAACAATTATATAATGTCTGGAGAAAAAAAAAACTATCCCTTGTCAGTGGGTAAAAGATACTGTAAATAATCTAGTCTAATTCACTACCTGTGCGCTGAATAGTTTTTGCACTGGTCAGTTTCAGTCACTATCTTACACAAAAGATATTACTCCTGTGGAATCAGTCCAGAGAACAGTGCCCAGCTACATTCTGAGGCTAAAAGGAAGGTCTTACTGTCAGGCTGAAGGAACTGAACATTTTCAGTTTGGAACAGAAAAGACGATGAAGAAACGTAACTGTTCACAATCTTCAAGGGCACTGACCTTGAAGTCCAATTAAGTGGACTTCTTCAGAACGAACTGTGAAAAACTATGAACCAGAGGGCATAGGTAGAAACTACAGAGACGTGCAATTCAAACACTTCTTTACCCAAAGGGTTGTAGGAGTATGCAACATGTAACCCTGCCACGTTGTTGAAGGATGAGGTCCTGAGATCAGTTAGCTATTCATTATAAAAAAAGGATCTCAATGGACCAAATGCTCTTCCCTTGTTTAGAAAATTCTTCATGGCCTTTTTTTCTTTGTACAACTAACTTTTGAAATTCTCATGCTCAGAAGGACCCACATTTCTCAAAGGCATCTTCTCCTTCGTAACTTTCATTTGGCTCTTAAGCCGTAGATGTCACAAACCTGCACTTACAGGTGTTCAGCTTCCAGCCGGCAAGTTACTGCCCACACTCTCATTCCCTTTAAACTGGGGCCCGTCATCGCTCGACACTGGACTCACCCCTCTTGCGGCCAGCTCTAACTCGGTGTTCTCCCAGTGATCGGTGTGCTCCAGGAAACTCATCATTTCTTCAAAGACCTCTTCAAATCTCTTTGGGTTCTGTAAAACACAAGCCTCAGTCGTCTCACGACAGTACCTAGCCATTGCTGTGAGAACTGACGTCACTCCCATGCGGCACCATACCTTGCGTGCCTTTACAACGATGGCGGACAAAATCTTCTTCCCCGTCTCGGCCAGAAAAGCCCGAGTTGCTCTTTCGGAAAGAATGACCTGGGAAAGGGAAATGGCACTGGCAAAACAGATTTCCGAGGGACATACTGACACAGAGGCGCAGCAGTTAGCATTGCCATCTCACAGTGCTGGGGCTTCAATCCCAGACTCGGGGTGCTGTCTGCGTGGGGTTTGTATGTTCTCCCTGTGTTTGTGTGGGTATCCTCCCGCAGTCCATAAAAACATACCGGTAGGTTAATTGGCTACAGAGAAAACTGGCCCTGGTGTGTGTGTGTCTGTGTCTGTGTGTGCACTGTGATGGACTGGAGCCCCATCAGGATGTACCCTGCCTTGTGCCCAGTGCCTGCTGGGATTGGCTCCAGCTCCCCCCCCCCTTGGCCAACCCTGAACTGGATCAAGCGGGTAGAAAATGGATAGGGACACGCCCAGATAGAAACGGAACCCTGTATTACCTCACAAGCCTGGCGAACACAGTGTAGCTTCGCCAAGAAGTCCGTGTCTCCCAGACACTCCAGCATCTCGGTCCTGAAAGGAAACAATGTGCTCAGGTCTCCCCCAGCCACACGGCAACAAGACGCGTTGCAGAAAAAAACGAGAAAAACTGCATTACTGTACATTTTTTTGGGACGACTCACATTTGGGCTCCCGTCTAGTGGCTGCACTGAAGTGTTTGTCTTTCTAGTTCTGACTGAGGGTTCGCCTGCGATTGTGCAAGTTGGATGCAACACGTCAGTGGCAGACGAAAGCCCATTATGATTATGAATTCTAAACTGTAGTGGAAGAAAAAAAAAATAACCACGTCTTGCCATCCTTTATTTTCCTGATCACGGATGAACTCAATCTGCGCATCACACGGCAGAGAGGCGCACTTCACAAGAGCCAAACGGAGTCATCTCATCACCGGCTTTATTACCCTTTCGTGGTCAGAAAAGAGCTACAAGGTTTCCAGAAAGGAAGTCAGGGAAGTTCGGCGTGATAAAATGAGAGACGCCTGCAGGACGCACGCTGATGGAAGGTCGCGCGCGCTGGAGTGACTCGCCGGGGGCGCAGCGGCGCGGCGGCGGAGCGTACCTCAGCACCCTGCAGGAGATCTGGCCCTCCTCGGCCAGCCGCAGGGCATCCTCGTACAGTGGGTAGCGGCAGAGGGACCCCAGCGCGCAGGCACCCCGCAGGTCCCGGTGCTCCGACAGCTGCGGCGCATGCAAAAGAGAACAGCGGCACGGCCCGTGGCGTGAGAGCAGAGTCGGATCCGGCAAGGCAGGGGTCACTCATTCTGCAGGACAGACTCGGGCATGGAAATGCACGACGTGAGCACAAGGGTTAGCGAACCCATGCGGATGAGGATGGTAACACTCGGGGGAGAACATACTGTAGAAAACTGAGGACAATAAACACTTGTCTAGCGTTGGCGCCTCTGCAAGAGAGTTTCCTTTCACAGCAGTGAAGGCAGGCTCAGCACGCACCAGGCCTCCCGCCTGCACTGGGGAACTGCGCGCGCACCCGACGAACCGACTGAAAGGGACAGCGATCTCCGCTCACTTTTGGTGGCGGAAAACATGAGCCCCGATTTGCCGAATCCAAGCTACGCAGGAGGTACCAAGCACCACTGCCAATCGGGAGGTACAAGACATCCCTGCGCATTGAAAAGCACAACCCCAGCTGGGAACTGGAGTCTTGCGGTTGAGTTCCCTCCACCCCCTTCCCGCTCAAGCTCATACGAGACCATGGGGGCAAGCCAAAGAAAAGGCGTGGACCAAGAGGACACTGTTCACCCGTGATCCTCAGAGTAACATGTGCGTCACACGTATGAAACGACCTGCACAAAACGGTATTACAAGTAGCAAATTCCACTCAGGGCTGCTTCAATGCCATTCCAACTATCACTGACCCACTTCAGCTCTCAGGTCTGTGCATTTTCCTCTGGAATTCCATCTTATCTGCATTCCAGGCCTTTATCAGCAGGCTGCCATTAGAACACAACTATTATTACTTCACAGTCCCTCGGTGTGAGAGGGGTCAGCCTGCCTGGGTCTCTTCTCCGTGGCTCAGGATCTGCGCCTGTGGCTGGAAGGTTGCCAGTTCGTATCCCGCGGCCGGCAGAGGAATCCTACTCCGTCGGGCCCCTGAGCAAGGCCCTTCACCCCAGCTGCACCAGGGGCGCCGTATAAATGGCTGACCCTGCGCTCTGACCCCCAGCTTCTCTCCCTGTCTGTGCGTCTCATGGAGAACAAGCTGGGGTATGCGAAAAGACACATTCCTTATACAAGGAATTGTATAGGGCCAATAAAGTGATCTTGCCTGATATCGACGAACAAGGTAAGGCTTTTGGTCAAAGTATGGCGTGACGCAGAACAGCATCGAGAGCGATGAAAACGATCTAATCCTGAGCATCTGCCACAGATTTTCCAAGTCATGATAGATCTGGCCGAGGAGGAGTCTTCTGGCCTGCTACCACCGCCAACCTGTTGGCCGACTACCTTTTCTCTTCAGAAGCAACCCATTAACTCAGGGATCACATTTCTTAACCAGAATCCCAACGGGGAGATCAGTACACAAGAAGAGTGGAAGACGTCCAGTCAACGACAGACCCGAGACGTCACGCCCCACCTCAGGAGCTCAGACGCAGGCCGTCTAGGACTGAATCTTCGGTACTATTCAGCGGTGCACGTGACAGGCAGCTAGAGGTTACCCGTGGAAGCACGCCGGTCTACAAGGTGAAATGTGGCGGTCTGGCAGATGAGTCGTTCCCAGCCCTGGTCCTGGAGCAACGCTGTACGAGCTGGTTTTCACTCCGGCTGAGCTCCAAATCTCCAGCGCTCACTGACGGAGATTTTATGTTGGGGCCAGAGGAGTTTGCCTAGACTTTCCGTTCTCCCCCGTGTGCGGTCACGGAGTTTGTGGCTGTGAGCGTGTTATTACAATTTTGGGTGGGCATGACAAGAAACAATTGGCGATTCTAGATTTACCGACACGGGGATAGTTTGCAAATCAGAGGGGCCCATTTGGCCCAGACAGCTTGTTTGGTTTCTAGTAGGCAGACGGATCCAGGGACCCTGTCCATCCGTTTCTTCAAGGTGTCAGATTTGATCGCATGGCTGGGCAGCTTGCTCCAGGCCTCCCCATCACCCATTGAGACTGAGCGATCGCAAACTACGGCTTTCCTTTAAAATCTACCACTTAAGAACTTAAAAAAAAGATTTTGGTACGCCCGCAGAAAAGCAGTTAAACGCAAGGAAAAAAAAAAACAAAAGGACACGAAGGTGAACATGTGGTTCTGATATTGTAAATGCTAAGAATTCTTATCTCAGCGTTAATATATATCCTCTGTGGCCTAACCAAAAAACCCTCCGATTTTAATGACTGCAACATGTGCTCCACCGCTGGCCTGACTGAGACTCCCAGGTCTGGATCAAGGGAGGTAGGATTTAGTGAGGCTGAGGACGAGCTCAAAGAAAGTCAGCTCCCATTCTGTTCGTTTTATGACAGCTGCAGTTTATCACCCCCGTCAGCTCGTTCCTCTCTGTCAAGATGGGGAAGCACGCTGGTCTAAAAGGTGAAATACAGCAGTCTGGCAGATGAGTCGTTCCCAGCCCTGGTCCTGGAGGGACGCTGTATGAGCTGGTTTTCACTCCAGCTGAGCTCCAAATCTCCAGCGCTCATCCGACGGCGATTTTGTAATTAACTGATCTGCCTGCTTGTTCAGACTTTCATTTAACTTGTTTCTTTGTTCAATCCTGGCTTGTCAAAAATACTAGACCGAGCTGTTCCCCAAATTGCTAACTGTTATTTCTAACTAAGCCCCTCGTACTAGTCAATGAATTGATGATAAAGAGACACGGGTGGGAGGGGTCATGTATCAGACACACCCACGATGAGAGTTTTTCCTCTGCAGTCGTGCTCTTGATTAGATTGCAGGCATGAATGAGGGCATTAAACTCAGATATCGGTATGAAGTTGATATCGATTAGAAAACCCATTCAATCTTTTAAAAACTGAAATATGCACCCAAAACAAAAAACTGAAACCATTTAGCCTGTGATTAAGAACTGGCAAAAACCAAAAGAGAGCTCCTCCAACACCAGGTTTGGGAACCTCTTTCTCTTTCCTATTCCCTTTATAAACCAACGCCTTTAGGAGCAGGCATTTAGCCGAAGACTAACAACAGAACAAATCGTGGGTTGGAAAAAAATTCCAAATTAACAGATAAATACTTTACATCTAATGTATCCCAGCTGTTTACTTTAAATGTCTGGGATCTTATGTGAAGCACAAACCCAAATCGGACTCATCAGGGGCCTATAATTGAAGATGTTGAACCATCCAGGACTAAGAGAATCCCTAAGAACTTGCACTACACCTGCTCGAGTGCAGGAAAGGTAGGACTGACCCCATGATTCCCAGGCTGGTTTATTTCCCCCCACCGTCATGCTCCTTCTGCCGTGTCAGATCGACCGTTATGCGTGAAGATACGAGGTGAGGGCCTATCCTGTAAATAGAAGAGCAGCTGCGACAACACATCAATTCAGGGATGACAACAAAAAAAAAAAAAGAGCGTCTCTGAACGCGGGCGTCAGCTGCTGCCTCCCGAGAGTCAGAATTCCAAGTCCCCAACAAACGTCTCCGATTCACAGCAAACGGCAGGAGTCTGTGCTAGTTTTGATGGTGTCCAACCACACTGACTCTTCTTAGCTACCCTGTCCCCTGCATTGCTGGTACAAACCAAAGCAAGCTGGAGTCCTGGCTGTGAAGTGGTGAGAGTTCTGTTTTAGTGCCCCTGTGTCACTCAGTGGAAGCCTGCAACAGCGCAGCTGCTGTGCTCAAGGCAGCTGCTCCCAAATATCTGCGGTCTCAAGAGCGGTAGTCCCTCACATTGCTGACCACAGGCTTCCTCTACTGCGACTTGATCCTTTTTCGGCAGGGCACTGAGAAACAGAACAGCCACCGGCTGATGGATACTACTGTCTGCAAGATCTGACCGTGTCCTGAAAAACTGACCAAGTGATCCCATTTTTTAAAAACAAGCCTACGGTTTAGTTATTTCGTTTTTTGCTTACCTGCAAGCAGTGATATGGATTGGCATTTCTGGATGAGACATTAAAATGATGCAGAATCTTAGTGACAAACCCCCCCAGAAATAAAGCAATGCAGGTGAAGTGCCTGATGGTCAGACTCATGGAGAAATAAATGACAGAACTGAGCCAGTATTCTACCATGGCTGACAGACTCCCACCTGATAAACCATCCCTCTCTTTTTAATATTATTTACACAGAAAGAAAAGAAGATTATATTGTTAGTTCTTCCCAACATCGATTGTTTGTTAACTTAATACACAGCTGGGCCACAATTTTCATTTTCGAAAAGGTGCATCATGGAGCACTATAAACAACTGAAGCAGACACGTCGTGGAGTGACTGGATGCAGCCACATTAGGTTAAAAAAATGTGTCAACGAGATAGTCATGGGAAACGTTGAGGGCTGCATGCATGCCCCTACAGAACGAAAATGGAAAACGAAAGAAAAACGCTTATACTGCATCTTGGAATCACTTTTTTTTCCCCCAAAAAGCTAAAACTTCAAAAACCTTACAGGGATCGCAGAGTCAGAACACCTTTTCATGTCCAGTTCCATGTTTCCACGTGTTACTGTCCGTGTCAGCAATCTTAATCTGGCACTGGGTTAATTATGAAGTGACACTGCTGGCCTCCGCACTCAAGTGATGGTCCAGATCGCCGCTGATGTATTTCCCAGCGTTCAGAGAACTTCAAGCAGCAGCCAAAACAGAGTGCGTTTCGTCTCCAGGTCCTTTCCCTTTCCCAAATTCAAAGCAAAGCGGAATATTCAGCACATTTTCTACAAAACCACAAACTATTTCCGCTGTCCTTGACCTCATGCGTTAAGGTCAGGCAACTTGCCTTCCTGTCACAAAGAGGAAGTATCTGCAGACACATTCGTTAATACCTTTCAAGACCTCAGGGCGTCTTTGAACTTGTTTAAGCGCTCAGTGATGCAAGCTAAGATTCATTACCGTCTCCCTGGGACCCTGCGCTCAGTCTTACCTCAGCCGCCGATACGAAGGAATCTGTGGACGCGATGCTCAGAGTGTCCCTCAGACAGAAGTCGTCATCCTCTCGCACCGTGATGTCAGTGTTTTTATCTTTAAGACAACAAAAGGCATCTTAAAGATCGGAAATACCGACATGCTGCAGGGCAAAACTCAACAGCAACACTGCGATTAAAAAAAAAAAAACCTACACTGATTTCATATTTTTTGCTGCGCCTGTTAAAAATGTGAGCAGGAAACATGTCGGTAAGATCAAGAGTGTCCACATAACATTTAAACCCTGAAAATGAGCCGCCAGTGAGGGCAGCAGGGATTTCCATTTAGCTTAAGGTAAAGTCATTAACTTTCTCATGTTCGAAACATTTGAGAAATGAGTAGAGGGAAAAAAACAAAACACAGATCACATCTGAATCTGTCACATCTTGTCCATTTTAAGCTGTGCTTTGGCTTCTTGATTACTTCATTAAAAATGTAAAACGTTTGAGAGATTCGTTCTGATAAAAGCTTTTCTCTTACAGTGCCTGTAGCACTGTGGTTTACACAAATACATGCAGTATCGAAAGCTGCTGGCCTCAAGCTGTTGAATGAGGAAATAAGATCGCAGTGTTTGGTGGACGTTAAGATAATAATGTAACAGACTGGGAGAGGAGAGATAACGGTCTCATTAAAGCTTAAAAATAACCTTATTTTCTCTGCACATTTGTAACCAGAAGAGGTTAAGAGTCTTGAGGCATCAGCTTTCGAAAGACACAAGCAGAGGTTAATTGCACACTTAATAGAAAAAAAAAAGACTTTCAGTGTGGAATTAACCTTTACTCATTTATTTTAGATCTGCTGGCCTGCTTGTGGCTGGCTTGCCCAACGTACAATTTCACCAGTTTCTGCGGTTTGCGCCGACGTCCATTCAACTTCAAAATGAAAGGTTTACACGCCGACTTTGTCACTCTAGTAAAAGCTAAATAAACCACGAAAAAAAAAGATGCAATGCTTCAATATCACATGAAATTACAATAGAAAACCTGGAGAAGTAAACAGTATGAACCTTGCTGGGGATCCTTCATTCTTGATGGGAAAACTAGTGGCTAGTAGCTATCCAGCAGACCTGGATCCTCAATTTCAGGTCCTCGCGTGTCAGTCAGTCATCACTTATGCTCCATTTCAGTGGGAGCTGTCTAGACTGAAACGCAATGTTACAGTTCAAGAAATGAAACAAGTCAGTTCGACTTGCCCAGCCTCATCTTCCTGTCAACACGAACCCATGATGGAAGCTAATGAAAAGATGGGAGATGAAGCCATCGGTCGACTGGGGATCTGCACGGCTCTTGTGGAACTAGGGCTGCTGTTTTATTTTGTCTGGGAGGACCACATCAATCCTCAGAGCTTATGGCTCTCATCACACCGCAACATGAATTTCTGCTTTATTTCAATGTCAACTCTCCCAGGCTGGCCACTTCACAGCTCCTGCTGAAGCTGCTCTGCTTAAATCTGGTGTGTCACTTTGCCTGTTGTCTGGCGTCTGACACAAACCCTGTGATTGATGGCCTCTGTTTCCTCTCAATATCACCTTACAGCGAGCTAATGTCACTCCTATCAGTTACTGTGGCTTGGCTATATTAAGAACTCTCAGAAGCTAAAAACAGCTGAATGCCAGTTTGTTCAATGGAACCGTTTACTCATCGATTACATATAACTTTCTTGTGACTCATCTCAGGGGGTCCTGTAGGTTCGTCAGGAATTTTCACACTTTCTTCAGCAATTTGCAAAATTTTAAAACGTAAATGTGTCACCTCAAAACGATCTAGGGCGTTTCTGCGATTTAGGGGTGAATATAATCAGTGGTGCTGCCTTCAGGTTGTTTACACTGCTCGTGTCAGTATCGTTTGGGGATGATGCAGAAGAAAAGGCCAAAGGCCAAAGAAAAACATGGATTTCATTTTCATGTTCATAGCCTATGCTAGAAGTGAGTGGCCAACAAACCAAAGAGCTTTAACAGTCTTGTTTCTCTACCAGCTGGAATGTCTCCATGCTACCACCAGTAGAAACGATCTACTCGGAATTATTTTTATGCCCTGTAAAAGAACACATTTGTTCCTTACCGTATAAACACTGAAGGTCCTAAGAGGTTAGCTCTAACACCACAAAAAAAATACAGTATTCCTCAAAGTTTTCTCATCTGAAGACTTCAAGAGCAGAATGAGCTGTCTAAGCAGCTCTGTGAAGGATTAAGGTACAGACAGTCCCTGAAGAATTTAACTGTAGCTCCAAAAACACTTAATCAGGCCAGAATGAAGACAGGCAGACTTGGATTTTGAGCAAAATGCATCACGTCTACAGGGGTATTTAAATTGTTTTTCATCAGACATTCTTGGGCCGCTCTTCAGCCTTTTTAGGGATTTACTTGGTAGACCTCAGAAGAAACAGAATACATTCCTTAATTTGAAAAGGTACCGATTTCGTCGCACCTCACCAATTAAACCAAGAGCCAATGGACTGTCAGCATCAAATTCCTGTCATGAAGTCATTATGAAGCAGCAAACTGCACGACTACAGCAAGCGCTCTCCAACTGCAGTGTCTCTGGCTGATTAACAGATACCAGGGGCACACAAACAATCTCGGGTACGAGACGCTTAACTGTGTGGTAAAGTCAGTTTCGAAGATCCCGGAGCAGCAGTCTTCAACCTTGGTTCTAGAGGAACTTTGTCATTTTGGGTTTTCAGTCTTACTGGGCCCTCTATTACTGAGGCTAGCTGACTGCAGGAACGCAGACAGTAGTGCTCTGTTATTCCTCAGCTTACTTATTAAATGGCTGCTCCCTTATTTTTGTCCAAACAACTTCACAGTTAACTAATTACCGAGGAAGAGATACAGCTGGAAATGGAACTGTGTCCAGCACTCCCACAATATCGGTTATCTGCAGAGGATGCTTCCAGAATAGAGGGCGTTTTGAAACCCACAAATTAAAAATTTACTACATCTTACCCCTTTAGAGTTGAAAAAACATGTTAAAAACAATCATAAACAAATACAGATCAGTTAGCGTTAGGTGGGAATATAGTCATATTATAATCACATAATCATGATCAAGTATAATAAGCTGAATCAAGAGTTCAGCTGGAAATAGCAAGAAACTTCTAAGGGTAAAGATATTCCCCCTTTGCCACAACCATTCTGGTCCCGAAGATTGTGTCTTCAGGCTTTCTTTCCATCTCTTACTCAACTAAACCCTCAACAAGGTTAATCAGCTCATTAGCAACTTAAACTGACCAATTTAACAGCTTCCCCGCACTCTCTGGGTCTTGCTGCTTTGAAGAGACCTGAAAAACCTCTGAACTCACTGGCTATCGAGGATCACAACTGGTGACCCTCACTGCAGGGTGGAATACGGGTTAACTTCATCACAGCACGAGGGTGTGAGAGTTGAGAATGAACTACCGAAACATGTTGTTGTAGCAGATACCCTGGGTTCTTTCAAGAAATGGATGAAATTAGATACTTGGATGGATCGGCAACTAGCAAGTGTGATAGGCAGTTTAAACTCCCATGGTATCGTGAAGGAAATACCCTAAGAAAAGACAGAACCAGAGTCACCAGGTCCTGAGTGAAGACAAGCTCAGAACAGTCCCCTCAGTGGAAGTCAGTCAGTCCAATATCCTTCGAGAAGACAGTGAGGAGAAGCTCTAGCTGACTGAATGTCACCTGCTTCTGGAAGAATCCCACCACATAGCTCTCATGCGCTCGGATAACTCAAAGTACTGAGGCTCAAATAACACACCAGCAGGACTGTTCTGCCAGGGAGCAGAGCAATCAGCATGTTCTAAATTCACTACTTCTAGAGGAAAAACAAAACTAGGATCTGTAACATGCAGCATGTTTTAGATCATCAAAATATTGTGACTTGTGAATAATTTTAAGCAATGAAAATTAGATGAGACGTGACTCATGACTTCAGAACAGTCAGATGTTATATTGTTTTCTTTACAGCCAGTGGTCTGAAAGATGCATGTTCTTATCTTAATGGAAACCCCAGCCACAGAAGCAGCACTGCACACAATTATTAGATCGTTATTCCCCGCAGTGAAGCTCAATCCGAGTCCCAATGTTTCAGATTAACCTCAAGCAATTGCAGCCATTTCTGATTATCCTCAGTCTCATCTTGCACTCGGGAGACATGTGAAGCATCGAAGAGGGACACTGAAACTGACAGTAACTACATGCTCTGCACCTTGGGGGTGTTAAAATGTGGGGAACCTTTCCCATTCTTTGACCTAACATTCCAAATTTCAAAACTAAGAAATCTTCAGTACCAAAGTTCCACAACGATTGTGTGCTTTCATGTATCATTAAATCAGTTTTTGCTATAATAGGGATGAAAAGTGCTCTAAAAATTCAATAAAATGAATCATACTTTATGCCAGGCAGAAAAATATCAAGGACCCCACTTGAGAGAAACTTCATGTTTGCCATTTGGATATGTTTTGCAGAAAGAACTTTCCCTCTTGTTAAAATAAAGATGGCAGAAGCATGTGAGTTTTGGAGTGCAGACCCATTGCAAATTATTTTGGACAACAAATGGAAAATTGGGAACAGGACTATCTAGAAAAGGTTTGGTGAACTTACGGATTACACACAAAATAAAAAAAAAAGAATTAGCGAACAGACATCGAACAATGAATTTCAATCCACAGTCCTAGTTACTCATCTAAGTTATTGATGTATATACAGTCACACATAACCATTCCAGACAGCAGCAGCAGGAGACACTTCTTTCCACACTGGATGATGTCACCCGTTCTATCTGTTCTGGAACCTTTATATTCTTATGACCTGACCTAAACACAAGATAAAGACTCACAATTTAATATTTATGATGAAGTGTGCTTTTAAGACGCACAGCCTGGTTTGTGTAAATGTGCCACATGCCACAAATGCCAAGGCTCTACATAGGCTGCCTGTAGATTACACTATTTTTATTTTACCTATTAATGCCTGGAAGACGGATGCAATGCTCTCATTTCAGGCTGACGTCCAAGTGCCCCTTTCAAAGACTGAAGGGATAAGAACAGCATCTGCTGTCAAAGGTACAGATGGGTAACTGCGGTGCTCAATTGCCATGCAAGACACTGCAGCCAGTTCTCGAAAGACTCAGATTAATGTGAATAATATGATTTGACAGCTGAGAAAGGTCATGTATAAAAAGCGCTCGGGCAGTTTGCTAGTGAATATCTACAGGACTGGAGCACATATGAACCCAGCTCCAGGAAAGACGCAGACAACATGAACAGGGGGTTAAGGGCATCACCGCAACACACAGAACCCCCCTCAGCAGCAAAATATTTTTTTGAAAGAGTTTGCATGGTCACTACTATTCATGAAAGGGCCTTGCCTTTTTTTCCCCATGAGTCATGAAGGCTTGATAGCCTAAATGAATTCATGATGCGAGGTGAATGTTATGGGAGGGTGCTGCGTTAGTCTGGGCACTGCGTACGTGTGCAGTTCTTGTGTGTTTGAGAACACAAGAACAGTCACGAATGAGGGGAGGCCACTCAGCCTGTCCAGCCTCTCGGGCAGTTAGCAGTTAGTTGATCTAAGGATCTCATCCAGCTGTTTCATGGGCTTCACCAATATGGCTGGTTCGCTAGCTAATAACGGAAGCCATACTCCCTGTATGGAACAAGCAACCCAGCCATGATGTCAAAGCCAGTCCCCTGGCTCTTATGAAGAAGCAGCAGGATGACAACCACAGGCCAATTAGCCCCTTGCACC